ATTCTGCCATGAGGTTGGCAAACTATTTTAGCTCGAGGCGTTTTGAGGGATTGCGAGTGAGTGGTTTGGTGTTGATATACCCAGTTAGTAGTGAGATGAGCTGACGGCTGTTTAGGTCTGATGCGTTAAGATAGCAGTATCTAGTCGGCGATCACAGACGGCTTTCGAGTCCAGTCTAATATATCGCTTCGACTATACAGTTTGAAAGCAGTGCACTATACAGCCTTATTGCGAAACTCTCCACAATAGTCTATACAAATATCTCGGTACTTTGTTTCATGATCAGACTGAGAACAGGAGATCTCAGATTGAGTTGAAGGCATTGAAAACCAATTGGTATTCTAAGCTGACCTCATTCCAATTCTCATCCTCATTCTATATAGATATTAGCTTCAAGCTAGAGCTCCATCGCGCCAAGCCCAGGTTGTCCAGTAAGCTGACCTGAAGTCGGCTGTGGCCGATTCGCGCGTCCATTTGCATCAATCATTCGTTGCCATGCTCAGCCATGTCGTCACTCAAACGTCCTCAGCGTCAAAGCTACCCATTCCCCGCGTTTTTGACAGCACATGGCTTGAGCTCACGAGACTGTGGCATTGAGAAAAATATTGGGACAATTGATAACCTTATCTGAGCGTTGTGCTTTCTGGCACTACCGAATATTGGAGACATGATGGGCTACTTATACAATTGTGAGGAGAAGCTGGTTTGAACATCATCTCCTCATCATCATTCCCTGAGCTCCCATCCTCACGCATTTCATGTTCCGTGATGATGGCTTCTTATCAATTATGTTGCCACGGCGCTGGCATGCCTCAATATACATATACTCACATCTCAGAATCATCTCAACCGCACATGGAAATCGTGCCGATCAATGAAGCCATACCACGGTCGATGCCGCATTTTGCGACCGAGAAAGCTGAGAATAAACTTACTTTCCTATCATTGCCTCTCGAAATTCGACTTCATATTTACCATTGGCTTCACCTCATGTGTCCAGTTCGCCACGCACAGCTTGCACCATGGTATCCAACTCCAGTGCATTGCCAATACATTCTCCAGACAGTTGATACAGACACTGCATCTAAAGAGGACAAAGTGAATCGTGACGAGCAAAAGGACCTGGGGCTACTATCACCATATCGTCCCCTCTCGGGTCTCCCCACGAGCCTCCTTCGCACGAACCGCCAAATTTACAGCGAAGCGCGTCTCTTACCATTCACGCAGAACGAGTTTGTCTTTGTAAACTGGTTCGCCTCAGGCCTATGGGCCGCCCGAGCCTTCACTCGAGCCCTTGCTCCATGGCAGCGAGGTTCTCTCCGCTATGTTCGGTTGGAAGTGCTTGCACGAGACGTAGTGGTCGGAGGTGCAGGGCGTGAGGAATGGCGCGCCTTGTGCAGTGAGTGGGCTACTGGTGTCAGAGGACTTAGGATGAAGATGGTTCTCGGAGCGAGTACATCGGTAGTGACGGGCCCGGTGTTCGGAGGCGGAGTGGGGCGCAGGGCGGAGGCGGCACGGCGATGGGTCGGCGAGGGACTTGCCCTGATGGGACGACTGGAGAGGGTTGAGATGGAGGTTGTGGCGAGAGAGATGAGCGTTGTGGACAAACTTGAGTGGTGTAAGACACTGCAAGCAGAATTGAGGGAGGCAGGACTGGAAAGGGTTGTGGTTGTTTGTACGGAAAAGGTACAGGAGAAGATGGAATGGATCAAGAGTGATGTTGGGTGGAGAAATCCAGAGACTGAAGTTGGAGCTGTCACGACGGCTTTGGCAGATAATTTGATAGCGGAAAGGGCTACGAGAGCTCGTGCATAATTGTTTGCTTGGGCATGATGGATCATGAGTTATGTCTTTATGGAGTTCTTGTTGGTCAAGATTGGTTCTTTTCATTAGCATTGGTATGGCACCGTATCACGGAGTTCAAGTATACGAAATTGAGTTAGGGACTACATAGTATTGGTTCTTGGACTATGCTGAGAATGATATACCTTCAAAAACCGTTTCTGCCCTCCTTTAGCCTGTTGTTCTCTATCTTGTTGTGCAGATGATATTACAAATACTCCAATGACTAGCAGCATGTCACAGGAAATAACACGTTGGCTTATCCAATTGGAAATTACCCATTTCATTACCAAGTTTCAACATCTGACTGTTGACAGCCGTTCCACAAAGTAAAGTGTAACGCCTAGAACAAAGGCTGCTTCCACACCGCATACAACAGCAAATCCGAGGCTGTCCAAGGCATATCTAGGCTAAATGCCGAGGATATCCACAAACCAGATAAGAAAAGTGACGATGAATAGCAGTAATTATTGCATATGATAAGCAAATGGCGCTGTAGTAAGCCCGGGACAATAATTAGGACGTCTGTCTGCCCCATGTGACTTCGCGCGAGTCTCGCCAGACTGTGCCGCATGAGTCACGTACTGTAGCACTGCAAACGCGGAGTCAAACCTTCTTTATCTCTGAGCGATAACGGGGGAATTCTTGTTCTACTGTGTTAGTAATACTCCGTGTGTTTCTTCTTTATAAATGTTCTTTGAATCAGGTTGAATCCTTCAAGCCTCATTCTCTGGTTTATGTTGGTATCCAATTGGTGATCACTGAACCCCGCCTCCACACGGCGCAGTATCGAAACCTCCTCCACCTCCAAGTTTCGTATGTGTGTTGCGAAACGACGTTTTGAACTGATAATCGAAACTCTGCTTACGAATCTCATCACCATTGAAACTCATCGTCACACCGTCTAATTGAATTGTTCTTTCATTCGCAATCATGGAGGCCAGGTGTCAATGTGGTTCAGTGACCTTCAAGACTCCCCTCCCTCAGCCTCTTGCGCTCTACATCTGCCACTGCGATGCTTGTAGACGACAAACAGGTTCAGCATTTGGCACTTCTGCCATTTTCCCTCGATTTGACCTGCCTGACACGGATCTACTGAGCGTTTACAGGTAGGAAACAACTGTTTGGTGATACAAGCTGGACTAACTAGCTTGGGGCATTATAGTCGACCTACAGCCTCAGGACATCAGCTTTACTGGTAGGTGTTTGAGAAGCCTCATGTTTGTTTGACTGGGCGCTAATTGTTACAAACAGCTACTTCTGTCGCAAATGCGGAACTCGTCTCATTCACTCAACGCCTGTACGTAACCGCATCTTGGCTTACCACTCATCTCATACTGACCGAATCAAGTCAAAAAACGTCATTTCCGTGAAAGGAGGATGCCTTGACGGCTTGGACTGGAAGCGAGCGATTCACATCTGGACCAAGACGGCCATGGTTCCTATTCCCGAAGGTTCTGAAACGCACTCTGAAGAGTCCGGCTATACGGACTATGGATCAACTCAGGAGGAGCTGGACCAGCCTGGGGATCTTGTTGGAAGCTCGGGTTGTAACATGCCTGTTAGCCAGAGACCGACGAGCTCTGCTGGGGTGAATGGTGATGCTAGCATGAGTGGATGAGTATGATGAGATGAATTATGGCGTTGGTGAGTGTTGATGAGACAGATTGTGGTTTTGGGGTTGAAACATGCCACTTGGAGAGAGCATTAGGATGTGATATCATGGGAATAGGCGCAATAAACGAGCAGTATATACGAAAATGATGAGTTATGGTTTGAGGAGCTTTCTTAGTAATGACGATGGCTATGCTATGGCGAAAACTTGAGTGATGCATATGTTGGTGATGAACTTGTGTTAGTAGGGTTATTATTGCTTATTGACAAGGTCATGGTATTTTACTTGGCCTTCTTAGAAGCCCAATGGCACAATCCCATGTTAAAATTGTAACCGTATATTTGTAACGGTATTGCCTTTAACCTTTCACCAACAATGACGTGCATCTATCATCCCTGTATATCATCGCTGTAAGTCTAATGAGCACTAACAAGTCATGGAGTTTCTTTCAACGGCACTCAACATATCTTATCTTACAATTCGTACGCAGATCTCAAAGACTCAGCCTTATTTTCCAAGTGAATTAATCAATTAATTAAAAGCTGCCAATTCGAAACTTGACATTGATTAGCTTCCGGTAGTGCAATCAAACGAGGCCTCTTGAATGGCTCTTGGCACTTCGGCCGATACACTCAAAGTAGCGAGGTCGGGCCCCCTCCCGAAACCTCGGATGAACAGGGGGTGCTTCAGTTGCGTCTCGCTATTGATGGAGAATTCTAGGCATTTTTCGCAACGTTTTTTTCTTCCTTTGAGAATGACCTCTTTTTTTATCAGGTATAAGACCACAGCGGGAGTGACCGGTTGTGATGATTTATTGTTCGTGCATTTTGGTCGCCAAGATGGCCTTTCTAGTGACTCTCTTGTGATTATGTTGCAGAAGCGCTTTTGTCTGTCGAGCGCTTACTAAAACTTCCTTGATATTATCGCAACATATCTCGTCTCGGTAACTATTGCCAAGTCCCGGCAAACGGTGGTGCCTTGATTAGCCCCCTTTAGTCCCATCTTTGACAGGTAGTGCCAAGTCTTTGATGAAGACTTTGATATTGAGCTGAATTGTCGGAATATGGTCATCAAACCGAGACTTTATATTCAATTTCGATAAAGTTATCAACTAGCAAGCTTCGAATGCCGATCATGAACCTGGTCTTTCAGTCAGTACCAAGTAATATACCTGATTCTCTCAAACTCCTTGTCGCGATAGCGTCTTTTTACCCCTGAACCCTAGCTCATCCCCAAACTCCAACCCTAGCTCGTCCTAACCTCAAGCGTCACAAGTCTCCGTTTGAGCCTCAGATTCCAGAACCATGATGCACCAAAACGTGCCCCTGCTTCGTCTGCGACGGTGTGTGCGGCGGCGCGGGTTGGTCTGAGGAAACCTGAATCATCCCATTTCTCTTCTCCCCTCCCCTCCCTTTGCTTCTGACCTTTTTGAATTCTGAATTGTGTTGTTGTGTTATGTTTATTGTTTTCTATCCGTCGTGACCTTGTCAATCGCTCGCTCGCTCATTCATTGATTGACTTTGTAAGGTTTGGTGCTGCCCGGGCTTTGGTCTCGGCGGTGCTTATCGTCACGGCTTCTCTTCCTGTTCTGTCCCGGGCAATCATTCTTTTACTGTCCCTTTGACTGAACGACTTTTAATACCTACTCGACATATCATCTCCGAGATTTAATCGCTATTGTCGAATTGTTATATCTGTCGCTCTTTACAACTGGACCGTAAAAACCTATAAACAGCTGGACTGTTGCAACACTCACTCACTCACCCACTACACCAAATCGAAATCCGAAAGTTATTGGGGAGCTTGGATCATCATGAAGTTGTTGCTTTGGCTTACCGCCGCCCATGTTGCGCAGGTGAGGATATTCGAACTTACGCCGAGATGCTATGAAGTCAAGAGACTGACTTTGACTCGAATAGGCCGCGGGAAGACATGGAATAATGAAAAAGAGGCAGGCAGAGGTTGAGGGGATTGCCCATGCACTAAAATTCGAAGGGTGAGTATAAGCCACAAAACACCAAAGCTTAGTTTTCAGTATCTTATTAACAAATCTCTAGACTGAGGCTGTCTTATATCACCGAAACTGAAACTGCTACTCAAAAAGTTACGGAGACAGAGACAGCGACTGTTGTTCAAACTGTTCAAGGCGAGGCTGAAGCTGCTGCTGGCGAGGTTGTGACCGTTACCATCAACGCACCTCCAGTTACTGTCACCGAGACCAAGACTGAAGTCGTCAACCAAGTCCAAACTCAATACGTCACTCAGGTTCAGGTTATGACTCAATATGTTACCCAGGTCGCAGCAGCGCCTCCTGTAAGTAATACGAGAACATTTTTGAAAGACCTCTATGTTAACTGAATGACCTCTAGCCCGTCGTTGAGACCGTTACTCAGGCTGTAAGTCCCATAGCCTATATCTTTCAGCTGTTACTAACTCCTCTAAGCAACTCATTACAGTGACCATTCCAGGAGAAGCACCAGTAAGTTCTTGTGGTCAAAACTCGTATCTAATACTGACTCAGCATAGGCGCCTGTTACTGTGATTCACACCGTGCAAGCCCCTGTAGAGTCCGATGATGCTCTTGGTCGAAAGTTTAACCCAGGTGTTACTACGATCCCTATTCCTGAGAGCCTCTTGCCAAAGACGACACTCGCATCGGATCCCTTTGCTGTGGTTGGACCAATCAGATCGGAAACTATTGTTCCTCAGCAACCTTCCAGCATTGTCAATCCTGTTGAGAATCCTGCCAACACGGCGATTGCTCCTCAACAGCCCAGCTCTGTCGAGAAGCCCGCCACAACTCAGGTTGCGCCCGTAGAACCTAGTTCTATCGAGAAGCCTGCGACGACACAACCCGTAGTTTCCGAACGACCGCCTACTTCTGTCGCGAAACCCGCCACTACGGAGTCCACCGTTCCTCAGCAGCCTGTCAGTTCCATCGGAGAACCCATGGTTGAAGCTTCTTCCACACAAGGAGGAAAACAAACATATGCTCCTTCAATGGAACTCGGTAACATGGGCCCCGACACCACAGGAAACCTCGCACAGCCCGCTCTCGACGGAACCAAGCCCACGACGACTGCCAACGCGGAGTCAGCCTCCAGGACACGAGCCCCCATCGATCTGTCTGACCCTTCAAAGCTCAGCAGCGCGCTCAACCTGGGCAACTTGGTTGGAGGAAACGGTGGCCTCAAAGCTCGCGCCACAGGTACGCCATGAGTCTATGGTTGAAATGCGTTGGAGACGACGATGTGAATGGTAAAAACTTTGAGACGGACTTGGGGTTTTTTTTCGAATGGGCATTCGTGCTCGTAATGTTGTAGCTAGTCTTATAATAATGTGAGCAAGTCTCCAGAGCATACCAGCTTGTGCATCTATCTATGGGTATCATGATGCCATGCTGTCTACCTATCCGCGTCCTAGAGCGCCAATCTCAAATTTCTTATTCCTTCTCACTTGCTGCATTCCTTGAGGCCAGCTTCATCTTCTTGGCCTGTCGTTTACTGATCTGCTGTGTATCCTCCTCGCCAGTTTTTCGCTTTTGATTCTGATTTTGTCCCTTGTTCTTTGATTTCTTGCCGTCCTCGTTTTTTTCTGAGGCCTTTTCTTTCTCGGCCACTTCAACGATGTTGATGACGCCCTTGAAGCCATTCCTCTTGATGCCCTCATTTACCACAACAGATCGAGGTATTTCACCAAAACCTTCGAAACCCTTCTCGTTGCTTAAACCCCCCATGAAATTGAGCATGTTTATTACGTCTGCAGGTGCTCGTAGGGATAGCGCATTCTTGGCTTCGCTGCTGACCATGATGCCCCTGCCGCGTGTCGCCCGGACGAGACTTTGTAAGTTTGAGATGAACCTTGGGCGTCCTCGGTCATCGCCATTGATTACTTGGCCGTAGCAGACCTCAAAGCGGATGCCGCGATTAACAGCAGCCATGCATGGCTTCGGCTTAAGATGAAATGTCAAGTCCTGCGTCAAGTCGAGTGATATGATAGGGACATCGAGCGTGAGACACGCATTCTGGAAGGCCTTATCTGTGAGTGGACGAGCCGCGATGATGTCGTATGTCGAGATGAGCGATGGGATGCGATAGTTATTTGCTGAAGGATCTGAGAGAGGAAGAGTCGCGCGGTGGAGGATGTTTGGAAGCTTGGAGCCTGGCTTAGGTTCTATCGTTGGGAAGGGCGCGGTGTTGTTGGCGGGAAGCGGCAGCGTGAGCGTGTGGTTCAGCGCGACGGTTGAGTATCCGAGTGTCGATGCGCGAGTGAGTGTTTGAAGAAGGTGTTCGTCTTGGGTCGTCGGCGACCAGGCGATATTCAGATCGTAAAGCATGATGATGATGGGTTGTGGAGGTTTATTGAAAGCTTTGCGCAGGAAGCTAGCATTGTACTGTCATTTTTTTTTCCGTCGCAAAGTTTAGGTAGGTATTTTTAGTTGCCTTCTATGACCCTCATTTTAGCGGTCTCAAAAGAAACGGGCGGTCTTATACAGAATTTATTAAAAATCTATATTAACAGGAAGCATTGTATACAATATTAAATAATTAATAAAAACAAACTAATAGTACAAAAATCCATTCCCCAAACCTCACCATGTAGAGCATCCATTTCTGCAGCTTGAGCAGTGAGCTTCTATTAGTCGCAAAAAGCTGTGGTCCATGCGGAGTGAGCGTTTCTACTAAGAGCCAGCCCCTGCCGGTTCGTCATCACCTTGTTTTTGTGCCTGTATCAGCTCTCCTAACTGTTTACCGGCACTTGCTTTAAACAAAACTCTTACTTCACATGTAGGTATTATCAAATAATACGGGCCCTCTTGACAGTAACGTCTTTGTCTTTCATCAACATCATAGAGCTATCTTCCATTTATGCATGGTGCGTGCATGACCTTTGACCTTAACTTTAAAGCTTCCATGCCAAGAAACTGCGCCGCCCAAACTACGACTACGACGACGCGCCACTTGACCTCAAACCCCAGCTCCTGGATCGGCATTAAATGACTTCTCTCTTCAACACATCACATCACACGCTTCACTACTTTAACGAACTGTCGCCTGCGGATTGATTCATCGATCACATACCGCTTCCTTTTGGCGAATCTTCACAATGTTCTTCTTCTTCGTGTGCGGCGAGCACACCTTCCGAAAGGAAGTCTCTGAATATCAGGGCATGATATTCCAATGTCACCACTGTGGTAACATGGCAGCACATGTCCAGAAGAGTAACCCATGGTTCACATTCTGTTGGATTGTAGGACTCCTCTTCTCTGGCTCTTCGTCACAGCCAACTAACAACAATCGCAGCCACTTATTCCTCTATCCATCTCTGGTTACACCGATGTCGCATGCCGTATCTGCAACTTCCATCAACCTCTCGTAAACCGACCCGACGTCAAGGCCGTGGCAAATGGTGGAGGAGGACCTCCCCCACAACAATACGCACCTCAGGGTGCACCTCAAGGGCAGCCACCCATGCGATATGGTTAATAGGGACGATCTTGTCAAGTTCCCTGAGCAACATATGGTCGATGTAGGCGTTAGTGTTCGTTTTTGCGATTTGCGGCACTACCTTCTTTGATTTTCTTTGTTTGAAGAGGCGATACAGCCTGGTGTTGAGGCGAATCAGGGATACCCCGTGAATGGGGGTGTTGGCTGGGTTTATTTCGACTGAGAGCATTTCGCCTGCACTTTATACCACCAAGATGGTCTCTTTGACCTTGATGTGTTAGTGAAGATAAAGCGCAGGTGAAATTGAGCTCAGGACATATGGTTTGGGAGTATTTTGAAAGCACATATTCTACTTCCGCTCATCTTGGATACCACCTTTTAGGAACATTTCAAGGCAGCTCTGCCTCTTATTATAAACGTTTTGACTACTCCAGTTCCAGGAAATATTGATTGGCGCCTTTCCTCTTGAGGGAGCAGCCGTCCATCTTCAAAGTCTGTCCTGGCCTCACCCCTTTCACATACGACCAAAGCTCGGAGAGAATACGGGATCCCGTCTGCTCTCCCATAGTCAAGCTCCGAAGCGCCGGATTAGTAGTTGGGTCGGTGACGACCAGCGAATACCTGGTGTTGTATGTTCCTCTTTTTGTGCTTTGTCTCTTATTGCGATGCCACTTTTTTGTGAATTTGGTGGAGATGGTAGATCTCCATATTATTAATGTAGACTTCCTGCGGCCCAAGACTAGACCTTCCCGATTCATCTCCAATTTGAGGACCAATGAGTATGCGGCAAAGAGACGCGATGACATCCAAGACATTTGATCGTGTTTAAAGTCAACAATTATTCCATTGGATGTCTAGAAGCACGCTACAGACTTACCCATACGCGTTATGGACGTGGGATAATTCCCGGTTGCGGGGCAAACATTCACGGTTGGCAGCTACGATCTGCATCCTTGCCGTTTTAGCGGGCCGTTGCTGGGCAACGGCGCCAAACACGGCCTGTCCACTGAAGACCCTCGACCCGATCAGGGACCTGCAATAAACAAAATCCATCATCGTACATGATGCTGCCTACTCAATCTCTTTCTTTTCCTGCATACTAACCATACACCAACAACAGAGCAAACCATAATCACCATGGAGTCACCACCCAAGAGAATGACCCGGGCTAGAGCTGCCGCAAAGGCTACTGATCCCTCGGTCAAGACCACAAAGATCGTCACAGCTGCTGCGCGGGCAAAGAGTACCGCGACAGCAGGCACAAAAAGCACAGCCGCCAAGAGAAAGACAAGAGCGGATGAGGAAGAGGAGGAGCAACGCGAAGTTGCTGTTGTCAGAAGAACGCGTGGTCGACCAAAGAAGACCGAGGAGCAAGAATCTGAGGCTGAACCTGTAGCACCAGCGAAACCTACAAGGGGCCGTGCAGTCAAGAAGACGGCTACAGAACCTCCCAAGGAGACTGCTGCACCTGTTAAAGCTACTCGGGGCCGGCCTCGAAAGGCTGTTGCTGCTGAACCAGAAGAGTCTGCTCCAGCGCCAGCTCCTGCACCTGCAAAGAAGACAACCACTCGCACTCGCACAACTACCACGACAACTACAAAATCAACAACCGCTGCCAAACCTGCTGCAAGAAAGGCTGTCAAGTTCCAAGAGCCCGACAAGGAGAACATTGAGCCTGCCGTCGAGGTCAAGGAGCCTGCTCGGCCCGGAATCAGAGGCCGACCAGCCAAACGTGGAGGAGCAGCTGGGAGTCGAACGACCAGAGCGGCGGTAAGATTCGCCGAGTCGACAGACAACAAGCCTTTAAGTCCTAAGAAGATTACCCAGATACCTGTTTCGAGGGACGATGATTCCGAGGACGAACTCGCCGGTGACATGCCGCCTGTCAAACCCATGAAGAAGAACCCGATCAAGCCTCCTGCCAGTGCTGCTAAAGCCCAGCCTGAGCCGACCGAAAAATCTACCGAGTCAACAAATACTTCAGACAGCATCACAAATCCACCAGATCTTGGTGGAATCAGCTTATCCCCTGCAAAGAGGCTACCAGCTTCACCTCTCAAGGATACAATGAGATCACCAGCTCGCCGAATCGGTCCTGTTGCTCTGCCCGGATCTACAATGAAGAAGACCCAGGACGACACTGCCCAAGCTGGAGAGAGCACTTCATTCAAGAATTCTCTTCTCATGTCTGCGGCTAAGCGACCACAATCACCCATCAAGGGACTGAACTTCGGAACATCGCTCAAGCCTCAACAGAGCCAATCAGCAATGAAGGCGTCGCTTCTTCTTTCACCTGCGAAACGGGCCATGCCTGGACTGAAACCGGTCACAGAGCCACGACCTAGAGATGTCGCGGACCTGGGCGAACCACCAGTCATGAAGCCTCTGGTTATGGATACTCCTAGTCGTGCCCCTTCTACCCGACCTTCAGATAAGCTCATGTCGGAGGAACAAGCCGAGATGGAGTTTGATACCGTTGACGATGATGTCTTCAATGAGCCAATTGAGAACTTGCAATTCCCTGGTCGCTTGTCTGCTGTACTTCCTCGTCATGCTGATCCTGCCTTGAAGAAGGAGATGGGGATTGTCAATGAGACTGAGGAAGAGCCTGCTCCAGTTGAAGCTCCCATCGAGACTCTTGAAGAGCCTCAGGTGGAAGTCGAAACTATCGCCAAAGTTCAGGAAGAGATTGTGACTGAGGCTGAAGCAGTCCCAGAAGCAGTCGAAGAAGTCAACGATCTTACCGACCAAGAGGACAGCATGGTCATTGATGAGGAGAATGCGGAGGCAGACGACACACCTGAAGAATCTGAATCCAAAAATTCAACTCCCGCTCAGTCTCCTCAGCAAGAACAAAACCTTATGTTCCAGCTCAGGGAGAAGGACCTGGAGCCCTCTCAAGACTCGGACTCTGAGGACGAAACTATGGCTCCTCGGGTTGCAGCACCGACTACCCCAACACCACTTGTTCGCAAGACACCTAAGACTTCTCGAGCTTCTATGGGTGGATTCAGCGCACTCGCTGATCGACTTGGCTCTTGGAAGGCCAGCACTCCTATCAAGATGGGTTCTCTGGACGGTGGAGATAAGCCCTCTAACAAGTCAGCTACTCCTCGATCCGAGGCGTCACCCGCTTCAACCCATTTCTTCGACGACGAAATGACCGTACGTGCAGGTATGGAGGAATTGCAGGCGGACAGGACTGCGGAGATTGTTGAACCCACTTTCGATGACATGGAGGTTACTGAAGAGGATGTTGAGTTGGCTAACGAGGCTAATGAGATGTCTCTGATGGAGCCTGAGGTCCTTGAGGAGGTTGTCAACACTGAGGCTTTTGACGACACTCTCTCCGAGGCTAGCCAAGAGTACGGTGATGAGAACGAGGCCCCTGTTGCTATGGCCCCTATTACACCTGTTCGTCCAGTCATGAAGACATTCAACACCACCACAAAGGTTCCTCTGAAGCCTGCAGACGACTCATCTCCTTCTCCTCTGAAGAAGCGCAGCTTCAGCGCATCGCGAGTTGCTCCTAAGCGCCCCTCAGGACCTACCAGGAGTGCGTCTGTCATCTCTTACTCCCCAACCAAGGGTAGAAAGAGTATGCCAGCAACAATTGCCGAGGTCCCGTCTGCCCCTTCAACTCCTGCCCCTGTTACACCCTCAAAGTCTGAGCTCTGGTCATCGTTGGGTACACCCGCCAGAACTCCCCGACGTGATGTCGACCCTGCTCTGCTTCGTGGAGCTGTCGTCTTTGTTGATGTGTACACCAGCGAGGGAGCTGATGCCAGCAGCATCTTCGTGGAATTGCTCACACAAATGGGTGCCAAGTGCATGAAGTCATGGAGCTGGAACCCCAGTGGTTCTGGCAACGATGTGACATCCAGTAAGGTTGGAATCACACATGTTGTCTTCAAGGATGGCAGCAAGCGCACACTGGAGAAGGTCCGTGAGAGCAAAGGAATTGTCCAGTGCGTCGGGGTCAGTTGGGTGCTTGAGTAAGTCGAAGCCTTCCTAATTCTTTGATTCAGTGCTAACCAGAAATAGTTGTGAGCGTGAGAATGACTGGGTTGAGGAAAGTCCCTACAAGATCGACACCAGCAACGTCCCTCGGGGTGGAGCTCGTCGCCGCAAGAGTATGGAGCCCAAGGCTTTGGCTAACATGAACGGCACGCTCGTCAGCAGCCCTACCAAGGGAGGCTCTCGCACAGCTCCTTCTACACCCATCAACCGTCGCGAGAGCACACAATGGATGTATACACCTTCAGATCAAGGAGATGAAGACGAGGAAATGGAGGATTTTGAGTGGTCTGAAGCTATTCTGACCCCTGTTCCCAAGACTCCGGCCCCTGAGGCTATTGCTCGCTATGCTGCCAACCTTGTCCCTGACACTCCATCTGATGTTGGTGACGACGACGACATGGGTGACTCCCCTACTAAGGATGCTCTCCTTATGCGAACATGTCCTCCCAAGGCCAACCCCTTCCGTGAGTTGGGTGCTGGCATCATCAGCGAGACCAAGGATGACAACGTCCTGATGCGCCTCATGGCCGCACGACGTAAGAGTCTTCAGTTTGCCCCCAAGATCGGTAGCCCTCTGGCTAGAACTTGGCAATAGAGTAGAGGTTTTCATACAGTGGAGGCAGAATAATTGTGCATGGAAAGGTTTAGGTCTGGAGTTTATGGGGCACATTAGAATTGCGAACACACGTCATGGCATACAATCACTCGTTTTGACGGGATGGAATGGAATACCACGGGATGGACAGGACCTGACTCGGCGTTTGGAGGATTGACTGATTAAAGCACACATATTTTGTGTTTGACATACTGATAATTCCATCATGGCGATTGACATTGTATTTCTCGCTCGTTTGAACGTGACTGTTGAATTGTGAGACACTTTTATAGTTCTAGATTGTGTCTGGTATATCATACCTCATCGCTGTCCTTCCAATTCCCTTCCCGAGCTGATTATTCAAACCCCGAAGCCATATTGTACTCCCTCATGCCTTGATAAACGCCCTCATAGCCTTAACAGCATCACCCTCATTATTCTTCAACAACTCGGTCGCCTTTGCCTTTGGCAGCTCAAGCTCATCGACGAGAAGCGTAACATCAGCAGCGTCGACCTTGACGTTCTTGTGGGAAGCGGCAGCAGTAGAGGTCTTGTTTGCGCCGCCGAGGCTCTTGATGGCTTTGTTGGCAGCGTCGGCGTCGACGACGTTTTGTGGTGTAGAGGGTGAGTCTGCGGCGTCGAGGTTCTCGAGGGCGGAGGCTGCTTTGCGGTCCTCGGCGGACTTGGCGGTTTGAGAGGGAGTTTCGTCGGTCATGGTTTTGGTGGAATGTGTAGAAGTGAAGAGAAGGTGAGGGTGTAGTTCAGTGGAGAGGGAGCTGTGAAGGTGAAGCTGTGGTGGGGTTGGAGGGGCAGCTCAGTTCTAGCTTGTGGAGACCTTCTGACTGAGCTTGTTAGAGTACAGAACAGAGCATGTCTCTATACCTTGGAAGGCCAGAAGTTTTGAGTCGTCAATGGAGTTATAGAAATAATTGTATGATTGTTTAAACCAGTATACATATCGTTATTTCATAGCTCATTCTGCTTCCTCAGCTGCAAAGGAACTAGCAGCTCAACCGATGCGCCATGGTCAGAAGTTGATCACCGTGTCCTCATATTTGAGAAACATCATCTTCTGTATCTAATACCAAACTCTTGCCTGTAAACTCTACAACATCTTCGAACAAAAGGGATGCTTCTTGTGTTGGTGTTCATATTGTCTACGCCACATGCGCCGCGTTTATGCCGAAAGTTGATATAGTGGCTACCATCGGCAACGCCACATTTCTTTGTTAACTCACTCACTCAATTAAAATAAACTTCACTTTTTCGGGTGCAGGTGCAGGTGCGGTCCAGGGTGTGTCTTGACCATCTGTCTTTGTTCTGTGACTCACTCACTCTCATCTTGATACAATAACCTCGACTCCTCCACAAATATTCAACAATCTCATAAATATCACAACACACTAATCAAGTCGGGCACTTGATTCTTTCTTTTGTGCGGTTGACTCCGCCAGTTTTGAATCTCTCCCTCATCTCACCTCTTACACACAAAATGGCTTCATCTTCCTCTGCAGGCTGGGAACCCTCCTCCTGGCGCTCAAAGCCCATCAAGCAATCGCCCAATTACCCTGACGCAGAGCCTCTCGCCAAGGCTGTCGAGGAACTCACCCAACTCCCTCCTCTGGTCCATCCCAATGAGATCATTGCCCTCAAAGCTCATCTTCGCGATGTCGCACAAGGAAATGCTTTCCTTCTCCAAGGTGGTGATTGCGCAGAACTCTTCGACTACTGTCGTCAGGGCCCTATTGAGAGTAAGATCAAATTGCTACTGCAAATGAGTGTTGTTCTCATTTGGGGAACCAACAAGAGAGTTGTGCGTATTGGTCGAATGGCTGGGCAGTATGCGAAGCCGCGTTCTAGTCCTACTGAGATGGTCGATGGAAAGGAAGTTCCTAGCTTCAAGGGCGATATCATCAATGGCTTTCGTCTTGAAGATCGAGAGATCGATCCCAACCGCCTTGTAAAGGCCTACCACCATTCTGCTGCTACCCTCAACTACATTCGCGCTGCTCTCGCCTCTGGCATTGCTGATCTTCATCGACCCCTTGACTGGGGTCTGGGACATGTGAGAGACCCAGAGCTAAAGGAGAAGTACTCGGCTATTGCTTCAAGTATCCAGCAGACACTGCGCTTCCTGCAGGTCATCAATGCTCGTCCTGGAGAGCTCGATTCCGTAGAGCTGTTCACCAGTCATGAAGGTCTCCTCCTTGACTACGAGCAGTCTTTGACTCGCTTGCTTGAGAAGCCTACTGCCAGAACCTCAAGCCCTACTCCTGCAGCCGATGACGGCGAGAAGAAGGAGTACTACGATACCTCTGCACACTTCATCTGGATTGGTGACCGTACTCGCCAGATAGATCACGCTCACGTCGAGTTCTTCCGCGGAATTGCTAACCCAATTGGCATCAAGGTTGGTCCTACAACACCAGCCTCAGACCTTCTCTCTCTTCTCCGCACATTGAACCCTTCTTGTGAGCCCGGAAAGATCACTCTCATCACTCGTTACGGTGCTGCCAAGGTGCGCGATCTCCTCCCCACGCACATTCGCGCGGTTGAGGACTCCGAGTACCGTCGTACAGTCGTCTGGCAATGCGACCCTATGCACGGCAACACACTATCCACACCCACGGGCATCAAGACACGTCGCTTCGGTGACATCTACCGTGAGCTTGAGGAGACACTACGCATTCACAAAGAGGAGGGTAGCAACCTCGGCGGTATGCATCTTGAGCTCACTGGCGATGCTGTCACAGAGTGTTTGGGTGGTAGCGAAGGCTTGGACGAGGATGATTTGTCGACAAACTACACTAGTTTCTGTGACCCAAGACTCAACGAGAAGCAGGCCCTTGAGCTGGCTTTCTTGGTTGCGGATCATTTTTCTAGGGAGAATAAGGCACGATCAGCCTGAGGATACGGAGACACTGAAATTTGACATGAAAGAAAAATGTACATTGGAACAAAATAGGAGCAGTAAACAGCATGGCAACAATCTGGAATGAAAGAATGAGCAATTCACTCACTTAGATGCGTTCTGTGAGAAATCTTGAGTGATAGACACAGCACTGATGACAGTGATCTTGTTATTTGGTGCGTTCTTTCATCTCTAATCTAAGCATACGGGCTTGTCTTTCAAAACACAAGTTAATTCATATCATGTCCATCTCAAATTATTGTGCTGCCGTTACGTAAAACTGTCATATCTTGAATCTCCTCACTCCCTCATTCTTGTCAAGTCAAACCAGAGTGATGGTCTGCGCCGCCTCGAAAGCATCACCCTTTTCCAGCTTCTGCCATCCCTTGACAGAGCCGGGCTCAACGCAGAGCATGTTCTTCCAGCCGTCCTTGGGAGAAAAGTCCTTGATACCGGCTGACTTGTCGACCCAGGGGTTCCAGACGACAACCTGGTCGAGGTTATCGCGGACAATACGGAAGCGGGGAGTACCGGATTCTGAGATGACGACTGGGTGCGAGGGACCCTTGGCCGGGGTGTAGATGGAGTCGGTTTCGGCGGAGAAGGTGATGGCGCCGGATTGGGTTGCATCTGAGCTGGAGACCTTGGAGAAGTAGACGGAGTCCTCGAGACCGGTGACCTCTGTGGAAGAGATGTCCTAAGGCAAGTTAGTTCTAGTACCCCATGTATAAGCACTATATAACATACGCTGATCTTGAAGTAAGTGTGAAGAAGGGTCTGGAAGTCGAAAGCAGTGTCGCCATCGTTGGTAACAACAATAGTAGTGTTAAGACTTTCAGGATCAAGCGAGACACTGTAGATGAGAGCAAACTTGTAGGGCCAAAGAGCCTTGAAGTCGTCGCTGATGCTCTCGGAGGAAAGACCAAAGTCGAGCTTCACGCTGGAGCTAGAACCCTCGCTGGTAGACTTTCCAAGGAACTCCCATCGCGAGTTACGAGCAAAACCGTGCTGGGGAAGCTTGGCTACGGGTTCGTGGTCGGGGGCAGTACCGAAGACCTGTAGGTACACAAATTAGACAAGCTATTATGAGGGAGTATTATGGAGTTTCGTACCGGGAAGACGATAGGAATACCTCCTCGAACAGGAGCGCTTCCATCAAGAGCAGCAGACTCGCTGACCCAGAGCTTCTCAGCCCCTGAAGCATCCTTCCAGCTGATGACAGTAGCGCCGTGGAGGAGAACCTCTACGCTCTCGCCGGTAGGAAGAACGGCCTTGACGCGGGAGTTATCGTGGGTGATGTCGACGGCGGGTTGAGGAGGGGCGGCGGGGGTAGAGGCGAGCGCCGAGGGCTTGTTTGGACGGTCGACCATTGTGAATGATTCTGTAGGAATCAAGATAGAGAAGAGGTTGAGATTTAGAGGAGATGGAGCTGGTAGAAGTGAGATAGGTAGAGAGGTAGTGGCGGACTGAGGTGCTCGGGTGGGGTTGAAGGGTCCGAGTGGGGTGAAGAGGTAGAAGAAGAAGACAAGAGCAGACAAATAAAGTGACACTAATAAAGCAGTAAAACACGAGGCTGAAGGGCCTTATAAAGGTGATATTCCGGCTTTTATCCCCTGTAGCTTGGTTCTCTCAGACAATGTTGTATCTGTAAGGTGCTATCCATGCCGTGGATGCTTCAAGTCTGAGAGGAGGTCGATACCCATGTAGGCAATGGCGGGGTAGCTCATGACAGCCAATGATACCCTGAGATCAAGCTGTTTAGTGGAGACCTGCTGCTAAAGTTAGAGCTGTTACCGGCCACACTCAAAGCTGAAACACGTCTCAGATATCGGCTTGTGATACATCAAACCACAAAATATCACACAGAATCTAGCATTTGGTTGGTGAGGCAGCAGTTCTAGCTGTGAATTTGAGCATAATTAGCCATGAGTTGCCTATACGAAAACTCACTCGCAAATCTCATTGACTCATTGTGAGCATCGTGTACTATAACAGTCTCGGAAATACAGTTTCACAATGCAACGGACCGTTGAAGCAGTCAAAGTTACACAAAATTGGTACATTTGCCAAGACTCTTACTCAATCGGGTATCTATATGCTGCTATATGTTTCATCATGACACTTGACCAACTAAATTTCTTCTTCTCTCAACCACTCTAGGGGTATATATCATGCCTCGGTATAGTTTCCAAAGTCACCACTCATAGTATCGGCCGTTCGATCAATGGATAACACCTCTTAGGTCTCTCGGCGTTGGTTCTCTTCGTCATGGGAAGTAAACATGGCAGCGTTGTTACCTTCGCCGCTCTGTCCACTTGAGCTTCCACTTCGATGCTCAACATGTCCTTTCTCTTCAACCTCCTCAATGGCAATAAGAAGGTTTCCATTGTTGTCGTATCGTCGAGGTTCGATCTTGGCCTGCTTGACAACATCGAGTGCGCCCTGGAAACCATGTCCCACCTTCTGGAAGATAGTATCCATTTCTTCCAGGGATCGGTACGCAGTCTCAGGGAAGAAGAAGTAGACCGAAGGAACCATGATGGCATTAATGACAGCAAAGATGGCATATGTGTTGGATCCAATGTTCTCAAATGCTGGAGGGGTGATCATAACTACCAGCCAGTTGAAGATCCAGTTACTCGATGTCGATAGAGCGTTGGCAGGGGCACGGATTCGAAGAGGTGTGATCTCAGCAGGGTATAACCAAGTCATGCCAAGCCAGCCGACGGCGAAGAACGAGTTGAAGACGAAGAGGAAGACGATTCCAACAATCTGACAAGCCCTCGCATCGCTGGAGCCAACGCCAGCAAGGATAGCCATGGATGCACACTGGCCAGCTGCGCCAAAAAGCATAAGCTTTCGACGACCAACTCGCTCAACTAGCCAGATAGCGGGGAGTGAGGCCAAGAAATACTCAGTACCGTTCAGAGCGGCCATGAGAAGGGGCATATGGCGAGTCATACCAAGTCCAGCATAGATGGTAGCGGCATAGTATGTGATCAAGTTGATACCAGAGATCTATATCGATGTTAGTACCTATCTAAGGCATCAGATTTGCTACGCCTTACCTGCTGGAACATTTGGTTGACGTAGGCAATGAGGGTACGGTGGAGGTTCTTGTTGTGGTTTCGAGAGAACAAGTCCGAGAATGACCCCTTGCTCATCTCTGCAGCAGTCTCCTTGATGGCCTTGAACTCGTTGTCGACGTATTTGCTCTGGATATCCTGATTGGCAATGGCCGCAATAACTTCCTTTGCATCTTCATCACGTCCCTTGAGCACAAGCCAGCGGGGAGACTCGGGGAGGTTCATAACAAAGGCCATGATGATAAGGCAGAAGACAATCTGGAACGCCATTGGGAAGCGCCAGCAGGCAGAGGTATCTTGCGCAAAGTACATGCCATAGTCGACCCAGTACGAGATGGTAATGCCGAGTGTGATGAGAGCGCCCTCGATCATGACCAGCTTACCACGTTTATGGGCGGAGCAAGTTTCTGATTGCCACATAGGAACAGTAGATGTGTTGCCGCCGTTTCCAAGACCAGTGATGATTCGTCCGATGATGAAGTGTTCCAGAGTGAACGCAGACGCCTGAAGAGCAGCGCCAATAACCATGATTGTAGTACCGAGCATAATCATTTTCCTACGGCCGAGCTTGTTTCCCAGAAAAATGGTGGCAATGGCACCAAAGAAGCAACCCAAGTTGTAAGACGAAACAGCAATGCCTTGATAGTTAGAGCGGTCCTTTCGAACAGCCGCAGATACTGTGGGATCATCGCTGTGCATGTCGGGGAATTGCTCCATGAAAGGTGCCATTGTCAAGATACCACCCATGACACCTTGGTCTATAATAATTGTTAGTATCTGCTTCCATGGCTTGACTTAGAGCCGTTGTGGATGTAAGTGGTAGGCATTACCATAACCAAAGAGCAGGAAATCGGTTCCAGCAATGGTACTGATGGCATAGTTGAGGGCCTGGCCTCGAAGGCCAAAGTACTTCTTGAACATGATGAAGAGTTCGAAACCGAATAACGTCTCTCCAACTCTAGGTCACTGGGGCAACAATGAAGGTTGGTATCGAGAACGTGAGAACGGTTGAGGCCGGGGGGACAATCGGGCTTATAAAGAAACGCAAGCCCAAGGGTCTTGCATGTCGTACTGCAGAAAACAGAGTCATGTAAAGGAGTACTCGACACTGGATCCACGGCCTCTGAATATCCACCCCCAGGCCATGCGAGAAGCTGGCGTCTGAGATGGGCCTTGGCTACCCATCCATTATTGTCTTGGTCTTGGCCGTTTATGATGGATCCATCGGCCAAAAGTAATAGTGTCTATGACCGTACTGTGCATACAGTAAAGTATACCGAGATCCGCAGTCGCGTGCACCCATGGCCAGCAGGGCAACGATCCCTGCATTACGGCATTGTAAAGTTTTCAGGGTGTTTTACGAACGAGTAAGTGACAGTTCGGCCCTGGGTGTAGCCATATATGGTTTGCTGCTTTTGATCAGTGACTGGCTGCTATTTAGAAAGTCGATAGCATGTCCTCCTCTATATTGCCATCGTGGAAGCATAAACTCGTGGAGAAGCCCCTAAATTTTACCTCTCGCCTCCGCAGGAATCGGGCGAGTTGGGGAAGTAATCATGGGGAACATTCAGAAGGCTGGAGCGTGGGGAATACGACGTCATAGCAGGTCCCTCAACTGAGGGTCCTTCGGGAATATGAAAATCGGGGCACTCAAGGCGTCAGAGTGTTTTGTAGGCTTCTGATCGTCTCATTATTGTAGCATTTTCTGCTGTATTAGCTGTAGCCTTCTTTTTAAAAAATTTCCTGAGATATAAGTCTGTTTGCAATGTTTCATCGAAATCGAACTTCAACGCTGGCTTGGGCCATGGTAGTCGGTTTGCGAGGGAACTTTGAATCGTGATTGGGCCCTCGAGAATCTCTACCGATATCAAACGAAAGTGGGTAAATGAAGCAGCCAAGACCCTTGAACAGGCGAGAGAGAGAGATTTCAGTGTTTTCGTTACCTCGGACGAAGCCTGAAATTCGGGTTCCTAAATGAAGAATCGAGAGAAAATCTGGAGGAGGGAGGTTGTGGCTTCTTCGCGTGATATTGGATTTTCTGGGCAAGGAAGGAACCGTCGAAATAGCATCCTTCCTGCCAATGTCTTGGTATAATACTAGCATCGCCCAGTAATGAGGCTCGACTTTACTCAGCTTGGTCTAGGTATAATTCACAGTCTACTATGACAACTACAACTGAAAAAAGAAAGGTCATATGTAAATGTGGTCTGCAAAACCAGCATCACTCATGATCAATGAAACAGCCAAACTGTTACTACACAGTACAGCACAGTATACTGTCAATGAATTGGCCGTCACGAACGGAATCGACAGTCAGAAACGTGCCATTTACCGCGCTTCAGGCCCTGTCATATTGACGCCAAGAACCAGCTTGCAGTCCACTGACTCCATCACGAACCCGCTGTAGACATCAACCGCCCAATCAATTTTGATAGAGGTATGCAAAGAAAAGGCCTCGCTGGACGGAACAAAAGACCCTCTCCACCGTCTCTGCCCGTGCCTCCGCTTTCAATTCCCTTTTATGGATTACAACGGCTATAAAATGCGGAATTGCTAAACCCCAGAACCCCAGATTGTGTGCGGTTGACGTCATGTTAGATTAGGCGGGCCGAATAAAGCCAAAGCATCGTGATGGCTGCTTAGATGAGATGAGATACATCCTCTCTATCTAAAACAAGTGCCTACAGTCCTCGGGTTGCCTACAAAGGTTAAGAACATTCAGCCTCAGCAAGGGCATCGCCATGAAATTCCCGAACTGGTCAGGTTCAACAGTACGCTGCACCATCGATCGATGCGACTGTCGGACACCAGACCTTATATAGCAGCCATTGAGGGCTCTTCGGAAGGGAACCGATTCATCATAGAGCTTATTCAGACAGAAATGGACCGAGGTCTCGGTTTCCTTCTTATAGTGCAATTGAATTCTACGATATTCATTGGCTGCTTGGTCGGACATTTTTCATGAGCCACTTGACCCCTTTGGGTAACCTTCTTCAACCTCATTCAAGTTGACTTCAAGACATCAAGGCAGTAAAAAGCCCAGCCATAAGAATAATCAGAGGACACTATTGTAGCAGGCATGACTCGACCCTCCACTTCGGTCTTTACAAGGGTACAGATTGAACCGTTGTGACTGTCAGTCCATTGGGTCGACATCTACTCCGTACACCAGCTTGGAGGCATGTGTCCTGTTTGTCGAGGTAAGTTTCGTCTAAAAAATCATACGAATAAATAATTTATGCTCTCACTTAACAATATGAAGGGTTAGAGCCTTTGTCTTGTCAAGATTTGTGTCTTCTTTTTCGGTTCTTTTGCAACAGCGTTGTGAGGCCATCACCACTTACACCAATCGACGCCATTCCATTTTGAGTAACTGCTTAAATCTTCATTCTCAACCTCATGGCATCTACCATCCCTCAAGTCGTTGCCCTTAAAGTCCCTGCATGTCATACCACGATGCCCTCGTACGAGAAAATTCTGATCAAACCACTCAATGAGAGACACCAACGGTGAGAAACCTGCAAACACCCATGTCACCAACTGAACAGACATGCACATCATTACTGTGTTGGTTCCCCGCCGTGGGAATCTGCCTGGCGTAGGCATCGCGCCGGCAATTTTTCCTTGATGTGAAGAACAATTGAGCGTCTTGTAAACCCATGACCCCGGTCCTTCATCAGAGCTGAATCATGCCAGGCAGCAGCAAAACGCCAAATCTCAAGATGTTCATGAACGAAGGACTTCCATCTGGTGCAGTACTTACTGAAGCATACAAATTGATTATTGAGAACCGCGTATCACTACGATTCACCCTTTCTAGAACATCGATTTCACACAGTATCAATTAACAAGGTCCTTCTGTTACACCAAGATCCAAAACCTTGATCGATAATCGACCCTCTTCCCCGTGGCACACCGCAGCTCTCTTTATCGGATTACCCGGTTAGGAACCCCCGAAGCTCCTCAAAGATTCCATCTGACGATCCTCCACATTATCACATTATGCTTCCCCGTATTATTTTCATGGAGAATGGTGAATACATACACACGGGACGTGTGTTCCTGACTCGTAAAGCGGAATGATTACTACTTTTGGTATCAAGATCTCACTTGCATCAACTGAAGCATCTACCAGCTATAATTGTTGGTACACTGTTTCTCTGGACACGTTGACATGGCATATTCATCTCGTCATTTCTTTGATTGTTTTCTTTCTACAGAATATGTAAATGTACAGGTATCCATGCAATGCTGTTAACCAGATAAGTGGCAGGCAACTCAGGCAACTCTGTACATGGAGGTGAGGTATTGTATTATAAGCAGTTCCCAAGAATAAAAACCCCTTGCGCGCCGATGACAATGCTTCCGTCTTAAATTCATTTCCTAATCAATGTCTTCCTCGTCGTTCTGCTGCGAAGAGCTCCCTCTTCATATCCATAAGCATGTCTTCTAGCTGGTAAACCTCATCACGACTAAGTGCTGCCGTTTGTAATTGCTGTAGTCCACCACGAAAAGTGTCCATGATCGATCTTGTCTTGTGTGGTACTGGCGTTTCTTCTTCGTCTTCTTCTTTGGGTTCGGCAATTTCGTCTTGGCCCTCCTCTTCTGTTTGCGGCTGATCCTCCCGGACCTCTCCTTCCCCTGATTCGCTGTCAATTGGCATAACTTCCATAGAGTCTTCAATGACTTCATCAGGCTCCTCAAGTTCAGGCTCTTGGCTTTGCGAGGCTGCAAAGGACTCTGTCACTAGTTGAGACATCAGTTCTTCGTCCGTGTCCCCGTCGTCCCGTACATCGTTCGACTTTGTCTGAGGCGCTTCAGATGAAGATGATCGTGTGGATCTTTTGGTGGGCGACGCCTGTGCTTCTCGGTTTCGTAGCTCCTTGCCCTTTTGTCCTGCATTTCGTCTGGATGACCGTCGTACAGTTGGAACAGGTGAGGCCGTTTCTTGAGACGTTGATTGACTGTCTTCAACCTGTTCTGGTCCTGGTGGCTCGGCAGACCGTCTCTTTTTGCGGCGCGTCTCAGCATACACGGCGCTTCGCTTTCTCTTCCTCTTGCTGCCAGTTTGGTTTGTATTTTGACTCTCGGTCTTCTCTGGGCTTGCTTCGACGGGCGTAGAGGGAACGACACTTGATGGCGAAGGCTCCTTTGTGTCGTTCTGTTCTTCCCCGGGTGGGGTCTCACCCTGAACCTCAATACACTTCTCGGGAGATGCAACGTTCTTCTTCTCGGGAGAAATAGAGACGGAGTTGTACTTGTCAAATGGAAGATGACACCGTCTTGATTCAAGTTCGACCACAAATCTCATGAGACTACTTTCATCGCCTTCACTGAGTGCAAAAGATGAGTCTTGATTCTGGCTGTTAGCCACCTTGGGATCAGTCTCAACGACCTGATCGTCAACAGCCTTTGCAGGGCTGCTCCTGGCGTCCACAAACTCATCGTCTGCGGATTTTGGTGTTTCTAGAACCTGTGCTGGGGGCGGCGCGGTTCGTTGGGGGCTAACCAGTTGGCTGAGGGTAGGTGGTTCGATCTGTTCCTCCTTAATCTCTTCCACGTCTTGGCTAGGAGGCGCATCTGGCAGTGCCTCCGCGTCTTCAGTTACCACCTCTTGGCTAACAAGACTCGAAGGAATGACTTCTTCCTTCTTTGATGATTCTACCCTCCTCCTGCGTCGCTTAGACCGTGTGTTCTTGCCAGAGGTCTTGTTCTTAGCAGAGGGAGTCCCCACCTCAGCTTGGTCTTCAGTGGTCTGTTGACTGGCAGAGGGCGAACCAGGTGGTGAAGAAAACTGCCAGTTAACGATCGAGTCTCTAGCCTTTGATCGAGTTTGTATTTCAGATAATAGAGGGTTGCGTCTCGGGTCTGGTGGTGATGAAGGTGGGTCATTTAAGCCCTCAAGATGAAGAGCTTGGCCACGTCGGGGAGTGGGTGTCAGATTAATAAACTCATCGTAAGAAGCTGCGCGTTCAGGAGTAGTTTGAAGTTTGCTGGACTTTTGTATCTCAGCATCTTTGGAGCTCTCCTCGATCGCAGCTTGTGCTCGGGTCCGTGGGCTCGATCGGATACCGGGATATAGACCGGCATTTTCTTCTTGTCGTTCACGAACCTCCATCTGTCTTTCAGTGAGATGTTGAGACTCCTCGACCAACGGTGATGAGACAATTGGAGCAAATTGAATTTGAGAGTTGTCGTGGCGAAGACGGGGTGTGGTGGTTCGCTTCGCCGATTTTGTTTTTGTAGATTCAGGGGTGGCGTCTCTGCGGCGCTTTCTAGTCGCCGCACCCCTTAGACTCATCCTTGATATGGATGGTGCAGGCGAGACTGCTTGCTCAACGCCTTGCCCCGATGACTTGGCAGATGATAGGGCGACGAAGCTCAAATCTTCCTGCGAATCGACAAAGGTTTGTGCTTGGGCTCCGAACTCGCCACTGGAATCTTCCATGCCAGGGAACGAGACATCAACCTTTGGCCGTAAAGAAGCTATAATCGACTTGAGGCTTTCAGAGCAGTCCAAGCTTTCTTCATCTTTTACTAGAGCGTTCCACGTCTCCGCCATCTTGTTTACGATGTGACGATGTTTACTTCTAAAACCGGCGGCAACAAGGGGCTCAATTGTGTTGAGGACCTTGTCCTCCAATCGGCCGAGTGTCAATAACTGGCCACAAATGTTGTCCCACAGAGTCCGTACCTAGAGATAGTTAGTACGTAAAAGAGTGTAACGTCGGAATGACTTACAGGTCCGGAGACAGGAGAGTCGCTGCGCAATAGCTTGTGCGCCTTTTCATCCTTAATCCAGGGAACGAGTCCTGTTTGTAACTTGGGAAGGGTTTTGATGCCATTTTGCGAGAAGGATGCAACGATGAAATCGTTGACGTTCTCAAAATAGGCCACCATCTTTTCATTGTTGCATTTGGCTTCATTTTCGTAGAAGTATTTCATACTCTGGCCTTGAAGCTGGTAAAGATATTGGAACGGGTCAAATGAGGAAGATCGTGATGCCGTGGGAGGTGCACCCCAAAGTCGTCGCCGAGCAGCCTCGACAGCCTGACGATCTCGGGGTAGCTTAGCAATCTTAAATAGCGCAATCGCTACCGCCAGAGCCATTTGGTTTGATCTCTCGGAATCCTCGAAGAAGTTGTCCGTAACAATCTTGGCCAGAGGCTCGACAAGACCAAGAGCTCGACCTGCATCTCCTGACTCTTGAGCGATGTGGTCGGATAACAGGTTGAAAAGAGAGAACCACTGTTCTTCAGGGAGCGTAGGGTGCGAAACAAGTCCTCGTTCGAGAAGCGATACTATCTCTCGGTATTCCGGACCAAGTAATCTCTCGCTGCTGGGTGGTAGCGAGCCGGATGGCGATGGGTTTTGGTCCAGCAGGGTACGGATGTTCTGGGCAGCGAGAACCCATGGACCGTATGGTGAAAGAGCGTCTCGCGGCAAGAGTCGAAGCATCTCTCTAGACAGCTCAACTCGAGCTCTTGAAGATTTGCCTTGGAAGAATGGATCAAAGACAGCTAAGAAGCACTCAGCGAGATCTTCATTGTCAGCTAAGCCAGATGGTTTGGAACAGAGTATAGAGAATAGGTGGCAAAGCGGCGTCTGAACAGTGCTATTTGACTTATCGGTTCGATCAAGTCGGCTAGGGGTTGAAGCAGGCTCAAAGGTATTAGCAAGAGACATGGATAGTTTCTTCTCAGTGAAGGGGAGCAGGCCAAGGTTGCGGACAAGGACATCGACATAATGCCGAACACTCGACAAATATTTTGTGCCAACAGACTCAGACCCTTCGGGCACTCCGGTTGACCACATCTTGGACAACAAATCGAAAGCTTGGGCGATGAATCTCGCTGTCTCGTCGGTCACCTTGATATCCTTTGCTGAGGCGACAGCGATAGAACCAACGAAAGCTTGCCATAGCCTATAGGCTAAACTTTCGGTATTGGCTAAGTCGTTGAATTTCTTCTCCAGAATTGGCCCAACAAGGCCGAAGATCTTCTCAGAATTTCGACGAGCCCATCTTGAGTCGATCGAAGGCAGCTCCTCGGGGCTTATGGGAGCAATGTCCCTGATCCGATCGTCTTTCCAGCTTCTCGGGGTCGAAACGTCGAGGAGTCCGGTCACCATCCGTGTCGCTTGCGTGACATAGTCAGCAGAAAACTCGAGTTGCGCATCGACATGAATTAGCTGTTCCATAATAGGTGCAAGGACAAAATCCCAGGCAGCGTCGATCCATGTGACATCTTGACTAGGTCGGAAGGCATAGTAACACATATTGCAAATGCCACTCATCACTGTCCTACGAAGTTTCATGGCTTCCTCCGGCTGCTTCGAATTGAATTTGCGCCGTAGTTGACTTGCCAGGGGTTGTGCCATTATACCCAGTGACTTGGGGGGCAATTTGTTGCTGGTAATTGAAAGATAGACATATCGATTCCAAGCGTAGTTGGCTTCCTGCTTGGTCTGCAAATCGGTACAGTTGAACGAGTCCTGCGCAATCTTGAACCATGGAGCGAAGTGTTGCCACCGGCTGAGGGGGCACTGTAGAAAAAGGGTAACTACACCCCATATCTGCGGGACAGTCGACAAAAGTTGCTTCTCTTTGAGCATGGTGTCGAGTTGCTGGATGTAAAACTGTATGTATGGTTGTTTCTTGTCCGTCGTTTGCAGAATCTCGGTCACCTTGCGCATCACGGGCTTCTCATTTCGCAGCGCAAAGCCAGCTTCCGTGCCCAAGAGAATCGCTTGCGCTCGAATGTCTCGAATCGTACTAAGCATATCAATGAACAAATCCTCTAACCAGGCCGTATGAACAGCCATATGGTTTCGAGATTGTTTCACAAGGCGCTTGTAAATCTGGATACGGCCCATGATGATACTCTTGCCGGTCAAATGATCCTCGATGTTGTGTAACGATGTGACTAACCGACCGACTCGATCCGAAGACATGACTTTTGGGGAAAAGGACTGGAAAGCAACGACTTGCATAAGGTGACGTGCCAGGTCTTTCGAGAGTGCTGGGTCGGAGAAGCATCGAATGCAGTGGTCAATTATGAAGACGCCGAAGTCGGATGTGAGGGATGAAGCAATGGCTGGAAAATGCAAAAAGGTCGTTAGAAGGTTGAGGGCTTGGATTATAAGGGAAGAGTCGGGAGACCCTTCATCCTTTTTGGATTTGACATCTCGTTCGATAAAGGACATGAATAGGCTCATCTTGTCTTGTAAGGCAACCCGGTCCGGCAGGTTATTGGAAGCCTTGAGAGCTCGAGAGAGCATCATATATGCATCGAGTCGCGAGTCCCGGTCGGGGCCGGCGAGCTGTTTTATTGTCGAATCCAACATTTCCGCGATACTAATTTGGCTTGAGAGACCGTTGGGATGGCCATTAAGAGGTGAAGCAAGAGGGTTGGGAGACGGTGACGGCTTGAGGATACCCTTAACGGGCCTCGATGAGGCGGAAGGTGTAGTAATCGGTGACGATCTGAAAAACTTGGATGCTTCTCGATATTCGGTATGGCTTGACCATTCGACCTTCTTCCTTATCCGCCTCGAGCTTGAATTGGTGTTGGTTGCCCCGGTCGACGATGGTGTATTAGCGCCTGGTGGTGTCTGAAGACTCAGTCTTGGGTCGATGGGACGACCGACTGAAGCCTTCATAGGAGCTAGTTTATCTGGCAAAGATTCTCGTGGAGGTGTTGGCGGTCGAGGAAGTTCGTCGAGGGTGGTGGCCTTGGCTGAAGATGCCATGGCTGCCAGGCAGCTTTGGCGATCTAGACAGCAGTGAATTGGCCAAGAAACCACTAAAAACGCATGCGAATATTAAGGGGATTAAGATTGGAACAGTGAATTTCGCTGCGACTAAAAAAGTGCAACCATTTGTATACAATCGCAAAGAGAACGAGTGAATCGGTGTAGTTTCAGCTGGTGATATTGCGTAGCGTTGAGGACTTTGAGTATAGCAACTAGAGCCTGGAGTAAGTAAATGCTTGACCGATCCGCGCTTCAATTCTCCGGGCCAACGCGCGAAGCGAACGCGATTTTTAGATGAGCAACCGTGAATCAATTAAAGATTCAGGGACCGTGCGCGTCTGGCGCCCCAGAATCGAGCTCCTGTCTGTTAGGTGTCTTTCATCGCTGAGGTAAGCGAAATCCTACGTGTTCCCACTACCTACAGATCAACCGGAGGCGCTATCGATAAAGTGCTAGGTACATTGGACCCTTTTGTGTCAGTGAAGCACATGCCAGAACAGGTCTCGAGAGAGCTACGGCTTGGACCTCAATATTGGCCATGCTCATTAATAGGTAAAGTTCAAATGTTACAAAAGGAGAAGTGAGAGAGCATTCATGATGTCCTGTTACGCTCTGCACACATATCACATCCACCAAAATTGCCTATAGTACTCCGTCTTAAAATGCAATAACACGTTTTGTTAGTGGCTGATGTCCAGTTTCTATCATCTTCTCCCCACTCATCTTAAACCATCACACCTACCATCAACATCCCCCTCTCCACTCATCCTCAAATCATTATGGCCGCCAAGCAGCCTTTTGGCATACCCACAGGGGCTCAGAAGCTCAAAAATGTCACGGAACTGGTCGAAGCCCTCACCGCAGATCTCGAAGAAGATCAGTTTCTTCCAGATGGTGAGTCTCCTGACTGAAAAGGATATTAAATACATCATCTCCTAATGCTGTAGACAGACCGCGCCACAGCTCTGGAGCAGCTTAAATTATACAGTCGAGACCCAAAGAATGCCGAACCTCTCTACTCGGAAGCAGTCAGCGCACCCCCTGTCCTCCGTCCGTATGAGGGTCAAGCCGACCTGAAGTAGTGCTAACTTTGATCAGGGCTTCATTATGCTCCTTCGCCATGCCTATGATAAACCATCTACCAAATCGGCTCGTGCTGCATTGCGGGTTATAGCTAATTTGATGCTTCTCGTCCCTCCCACGCGGCATATGTTTGTCGACAAGGGTTTTGCTCCCAAAGCCATCAAAGAACTAGACACAGGAAATTATGATGATGAATTTCTCAACTCTCGTATCCTATTCCTTACTACCTATGAAACAAAGATCGACCTGAAGGACCTCCTCGATAATGAGAAACTGGCCGATCGCATTATCAACAACCTAGCAAAGCATGCAGAGGAAATGGATACCAAGGCCAAGACTGACCCCATGCAAGACATGGCGCTCACCGAAACCGTAAAGCTCTTGTTCAACGTTACACACTGGTGTAAAGAGAAAGCCTCGTTATTCGATCCCGCAGTTCCTTATTTGATAGCTGTACTGTTCAAGGCCGATGTTTCGCAAACGAAGCCACTTGACCCTCCAGTCGGTTTCATCATCAACGGCTTCCTCAACCTTGACCTGAGTACACCAGAGAGCCAAGAGGCTCTTCACCCCAAGAGCGATCCTGAGAGGGTAGTATCCAGGGTGATCGACATCCTAGATGTCGCCATTCGAACCGTTCCCGACGAGCAGAAGGATCCTTCCGTTGTGCCAGTCCTTGGCCTCGTAAGAACGATATACGAGCATGCGCCTGAATCTAGCAAAGCGTTCATTCGCGAAAAGCTCTTGCCGACAGAAGAAGAGAGGAAAGATGTTCTGGGCAGGGGACACAGCTTACCGGCCAAATTGCTCCAAAACAGCAATAATCCCATGGCCCCGTCATTGCGCAACCTGATCCAACATGTCCTTTTCGAGCTGTCTGATAAGGACGCCTCTAAGTTTGTCGAGAACGTTGGCTACGGCTTTGCATCTGGCTTCCTTTTCCAGAACAACATCCCTATTCCAGCTTCGGTTGCGGAGGCTCACGGCGCTGGTGATGCGGCCAAGGCGCAGAAGCCAGTCAACCCTATCACTGGCCAATTTGTTGATGCTGAGAAACCAGTTGACGAGCCTGAAATGACGGAGGAGGAGAAGGAACGAGAGGCTGAAAGGCTCTTTGTGTTATTTGAACGGTAAGTTCACATTTCCTATCCACTCACTTGTTGCACAGAGTTAATAGGCCTTCAGATTGAAAAAGACGGGCATCATTGACGTTCAGAACCCGGTGGAGGCTGCTGTGAGGGAGGGTCGTTATAGAGAACTCAAAGATGATGAAGTGGAAGAGCTTGATTAGTAAAACCCAGTGGCTCTCTCCTCTCATTATTAGCATGTTGAGGTCTGACGCTTTGGTCGTTCGGCTGTGATCTCATTTCAAGCGGAACCTTGCAGATTGGCGGGAACAAAAGAAAGCATAGATACATACATTAGTGTAGTAGCCTTCATTAACAAACGATTAGTCGTATTGTAATAGAGAGTATGACTAACGTATTAAGCCAAGTGTTCGATAGCCATGGTTTCTTCTCAAATGTAGATATTCACTGACTCCTGACTTGCATCCAATATCATTAAGTCCTCCACAGACGCTTCCGTTTTCCAAATTAATTCATTCAACAACCCAGAAGAAGTACCTTCATTATCTCTCCCACCTTCATCTATACCCTACCTAGGTGTATTCACATTATCCCACACAGCCGCCTATCTTCGATATCGCACGTCCTGTACCGCTTCGGCCCTTAGCAGCTGCCACCACTGCCAACGCTACAGGTTGTTTATTTTCCGTTCTCAAATAATCCCCTCCTTAGCTGTTCTTTGCACGGTTCAAGTCGGCAAGGCGTTATATCTAGGAGTCTAGGTAAATCTCATCTCACCTTTATTTCAAAACTTTAATAATTTAATGAAAATATTAGGGTCAGAGTCGCGCAACACCATCAGCAACACGATTTTCCTTCAACGAGCAAACTTACGCAAGGACCTGAAGTCTGAGGAAGACCTAATCGTCGCGGCGGCAAATTATTTCACTTCTCCTTCACTCTCCAGCAAGATGCCTCCTCCCAAGTCTGTGCCCACTGTCTTCTATGCGCGCGATAAGCCGCCTTTGGAGGAGCACAACAGGTGAGTTCTTGAGCTCCCTATCTCGTTCTATTAACTCCACACGCTTATATGAAAATCTCAGGCCTCGTGCTAGTATTGAGGGGGATGATGATGATGATGAAGAACCCGTGCCAAAGGTTGTCTCTGACCTTGTGGGCTATGAGAGTTGCGAGGAGGAGCTTGAATCTCCTGAGCCTGAGGATACCGAACAGGACGCTAAGCCTGAGAAGCGCGCTCTCTCTCCGGAAGAGGAGAGGGATGATGAAGCCGCAAATGCGAAGGTAGCTCCTCCTGTCAAACGCCAGCGCCGCTCGCAAGTGAACGGTTCAAGTTCAGTCACACCTCGTCGTTCTAAGCGTGTCGCATCCACTGCGAGTCTGAAGGATGAAAATGCTTCCGCCGTGAAGAAGGAGAAGCCCGTTACTGGAAAGAGAGCTCGTGGTCGTCCTCCAGCCAAGACCAGAACGACCAGCCGCAAAACTGAAGCAGTGTCAAAGAGAAGCCCCGGGCGCCCTCCTGCCAGAAAGAAGGCTACGCGTGGCGAGTCTACTACCGAATGGGAGGTTGAGAAAATCATGGATTCGCAAGTTGACGCTGATTCCAAGGTACTTTACTACCAGGTCAAATGGAAGGGTTTTGGCAACAAGGAGAACACTTGGGAGCCTAAGAAGAACCTGAGCAAATGCAGCAAGCTCGTCGAGGATTTTGAGAAGGAGCACTGAGTATTATGGTGGTATGCGACTTTACAGCAATGGGGACTTTTTGGAATGAATCAAATCTATGGGCAACTGTCACGGGAATAACTGCTAAAGGCAGCCAACAAGGAAAGGTCTGGCTAAAATTGCTCTATGGGAAGTGAACCGCGGGAACCAAAGCGAGCGAATTGGAACAGTATCTAGATGGAATTATCTCGATTATTACTTCGACATTACTTCGAGGCAGCGTTGTCAAAGCCTTTCAGCATAGGGGAATGAAACCCGAGTGCTCTTCTATAAGACTGACACATCTCCGTTGGAAGGGTATAATAAAATACAGCGGCTTCATTTATGTTGAATGTGATGATTGCTACATATCTGATTGCTTTAGCAATACATTGTTGTTTCGTTTAATTTTCCCGGCCCAATAACGTTTTACCTTCCCACTCATGTCTACATTCCTTACTGAAACAAAGTTGAGGAACCCAGAGCCGCTCCAGCAAGAGGAAGCAGGCTTCGGACCAAGTTCAAAACTCCCCATCTTCCAATCAACGTAGCCACGTCCTCCGGTGAAGCATCCAAGGTTCCAGCAGACGCCTTGAACAAAAGGTCGTTGGTTGAACTCATGAAGATAATGGTAAAAGGGACGATGGAGATAGTCAGAGCAGCACTGGCAGCCAGCCCCTTCCAGGTACGGCCTTGTTGGTTCGCTGTATAAGCGGCGTATAGATAGGCGAGTGCTGTTGTTCCAGCAAGTTTGGGCATGAGAGTGAATCCACGGCTGAAGAGAACCTGCCAAACGGAAACACTAGGGGCGCCTGATAGTTTGAGGGCGGCTGGGATACCAGCAAGCGAAAGAGAGGCAATGAAACCTAAGATTATTAGTCTGTGTCTCATGATCTGACTTTGTGGTCTTGCCTGATGCATAGGCTGAGCCAGTGATGCCTGTGGCAGTGGCCAGGAGAGAAGGGAGGGGAACAGAGATAGGCATTGTACACAAATGATAACTCCTTATAAACGTCTTATTCTAATATGTCAATTGATCTGATTCTACAATAAGTTGATGTTGCTGAAGTCATCGTCATATATATCGGCGAAAAGTGGAACCCCGTCCGGACCCGGAAACTCTCACGGACTTCCTGAGATGTCCGGTCGCGTCCTTGTCCATTTCCCGCATCATTATTGACCAAAGACCCTCTTCCTCGGATCAGGCCGATTGGTCAAATGGCCTCTTGTATGTCCCTATTTGGTTGTCGACCTCGCTTGGCTAAACGATAACCTTTCCCTTGCGAGCAACAAACCCATGTAGGGTCACTTCTTGAGAATCGTCTTTTGTATCAGCTTCCACCCACGACGATACGAACTCGAAACCAGCCTTCTTGAGGACGTTTTGGCTCGGGGCATTTTCGCTCATTGTGGCGGCTGAGATGCACTCCTGTTTGGCTTCGCCGTCCTCTTCAAGAACTGTGTTCTTGTCCACTGTGAGCTCAACTTCGTTCCTTGGCAACGACCACCACTTATCGAGGTAGACTTTCATAAACTCAGACGCATAGCCTTTGCCCCAATGCGCTTTCAGAAAGATATATCCCAGAGCCGGCCAGCCAAGTTCACTCGACCATACGCAGGTGCCTCCTAATCCGATGGGCTCACCAGTCTCAATAAGAGAGACGACCCAATCGTATCTCTCGACATCCTTTGGAGGTATGCGAAGACTCAGGCTCTTTTCAGTTTGTTCCATGTCAATATCGGGACCTCCTTGCGACGACCATTTCATGCCATCTGGTTCTGTGCGAAGAGCTCGAAGAAAATCGAAATCATCCTCAGTCATAGGACGCATTGATAAACGTTCTGATCGAAAAGTACTTCGTTCATGATTTGGTGGAAGTGGATAAACGGGAAGTGTTGTCTTGACTGTTACGAAGTCAATTGAAGAAGGTTTGGTGGACTCCATGTTGAAACTTTAGGGTAAGTTGAGTTGAACGAGGGGGTGATTATCGTGAGTACAAGTCTCTGAAATCCAAACTGATCGTGAGGAGCTCTAGACCTCATATATCTTCCATCTCCGTTGTCACTCCGAGATCGTCTATATTAAATCAAAGAATTGTGAGTCACGGGCTATCATGACAGTTAATTATGAGTCGAATCAGCATCCTTCAATTTCAGGTGTGACAAAAGTTCCCCTCGGCACCCGACGACTGGGGCAATATTCGCGTTCACTACGTATGCCTTCATAGGTGTCAAAAGGCCTGAAACCTGAATTCAGGTGCGAAATTCACGAAACAAAGAGACGGCTAAGTTTATACTAAGTTATTCTAAATTATCTGAAATTAATATAAATACTTTCTTAGGTTCAAAGCCTCAGTTTTCAGCCATCCCCAAGCCCGTTCACGATGCCTGGACTAACTAAAACCGTTGAGAGTTAATAAGGCTAGCCTCACTCAGCCTTAGGATTGCAATGCATGCTAATTTATGCAGGGAACTTGATAGGCAGAAAGGGAATCAGGGTCGAGACAAAAGACAAATGTCACCCAAAAAAATCTAAACGTCACTAAAGTCGAGTCGGGTGGGGCCGCGCCGGCACTTCCACTGTCTCCTACAGGTATTCAATTCTTACTGTTATTTGCTTACTTGTCTTGCTTTAAGTTAAACTCCAACGCATATAACGACTCCAACGCCAAGATTATTTGAAATAGTCATTACGGAAACCTCGGTTTAAGTCACCACTACCGAATTCTTTATATATTATAGGCCTTGATCCCCCAGAATGAGTTCCCGCGAAGGTCGTCCAGCCAAAGTATTGAGCTGTTCAAACTGCCGCACACGCAAAATTAAATGCGACAAGATACAGCCATTATGCGGTCAATGTTCTCGCTTTGGTCTCGACTGTGTCTTTCCCTCAAGAAAACCAACAAGACGTGCTCCAAGACCTCGCCAGAGTGAACTACTCGATAGGATCAGTCGTCTTGAGAGTATCGTCAACCAAGCTGACCCCGCCAAACTGAAGCAATTGGATGAGGGTGATATCCAGAGTCTCCGAGGCACAACTTCACTTTCGGCAACGCTGGATAACCGCTGTGATGAATCTCAAGCAGTAGCGACGCAGGCTGCTAATTTAGAGACCGGTGAACAGTATCTTGGCTCCGGCTTCTGGGGAAATTTATGTGCTGAGGTTGAGGGAATTCGACAAGCGTTGAATCAACCTTCTGAAGACAGTGATGACGAAGAAGAGGGCGAAAGCCCAGAGTCAGTAGATATGGCATCTAAGGGTCCTTCGGGCTTCTTACTTGGAAACTCGGATTACACATCCAGGCAACCTTTAATACACCCTCCACCGAATATAATGATACGGCTTTGGACTATTTACACCCGTAATGTCGATCCTCTTATGAAAATTTTGCATCGACCTACCATCAGCAAGCACTTCCAAGCTTATATCGAGTCACCGACAACACATACCTTCACTCCCGAGATCAACGCTGTCTTGTTCGCCATCTACTTTTGCGCAGCTGTTTGCCTGACACCGGAATCATGTTTGAAGCAGTTGGGCGAAAACAAAGAAATCCTCACAAGGCGATACCGTGTTGCGGTTGAGAGGGCGCTCGCCGAGGCAGACTATCTCAGCACAACCAAGATCGAGCCTCTACAAGCTCTGACGCTCTACACAAGCATGATGCGTGTGCACTTACATGACCGGACGTCTTGGGTTCTTACATCACTTATTATCCGGATCGCACAAGGACTCAACCTCCATCGCGACGGTGACGGTCACCGCTTTACACCGTTTGTTGCCGAGATGAGGCGCCGTTTATGGCATTTCATCGTTGTTCTCGATATCCGCGGCTCAGAAGACCGTGGTTCTGACGCGACGCTCACCCGATCAGGCTTCGATACCATGGAGCCTACTCCCATTGACGATGACGATTTCGGACCTGATTCAATAGGTCCTTTGATACCCAAAACAACGCCTGCCGAGAACGTTGTCTGTTTGTGTACTGCTATGTGCTCAGGCATCTTCGGCTTCATATCACACCCGCATTACAGCCCCAGAGGCGAGCCAGAACATTTCTTATATACCGAAGAGGAGCTCATTTCTCATATACGTCAACTAGAAACCAGTTTTATCCACACTGCCAAACCTTCACATCTCCCCTCTATCTACGCCTCTGAAATTGCTCGCATCGTCATTCTAAAGCTCTGGCTCAATATTCAATATCCTTTCACCGGTGGACCAGCTCCCGACCGACCCCGAGTTTCAAAGGAGACCATGCTGCGTACTGCGATCTCGATTATCGAGCTGCGAGAACGTATGACGAAGAATCAGTGGGAGGATCGGTTTGCCTGGTGGACAGACACCTATGTGCAATGGCATCCTCTCGCAGTTGCATTGGCAGAACTCTGCGTGCAGACAGAGGGAGAGTTGGTAGACAAGGCTTGGGTGGTTGTGGAAAGGACATTTCCGTCGTCACGAGAGCACATTGCAGACACAGCGAAAGGTTCCCTTTGGAGGCCGATCAAAAAGCTGCTCAAGAAAGCAAGAGCGGCGAGAACAGAAGCGCTTCTCAAGCGTATGGACTTTAATTCCAGCATGAACCTGGATCCTGCGACCTCTTTCATACCCCCAGCAATGAATACTATGGCTCAACCATTGCAGTATGGTACGAACCAACGGATGAATATTCCGTCGTCGGGGCCAGGTTTGACATCACAGTACGACACGAGCAGTATGGATCCTTCAATACTGTTCGATCCACCAGAAACATTGAATCTCGACTTTGGCACGGGCCTGGAGCAAGGCGTGCCTATGGAATGGACATATTGGACAGAATTTTTCAACGATACACAGATAGAAACATCTCCAGGGAGCGGGACAGGCGAGTCGTCATAACAGTTCACAATCGGTAGTCATTGCTAGTTTTTAAATCCCAATTCAATTGTTTTCACACCAGGCAGCATCCGCATGCTCAGAATTTTTGGTTCATTCGTTGCCCGTTTTATTGAGCAAAGTCAGTTGATATTTCCATGATCCGTTGTAACACCCGCAGAGCCCAACCGTCCTCTAAACCCAAATCATTCTAAGCGAAAGTGGAAGGTCGCTTCGCGCTGAAGAGCTTCTTGGTGTTCTCCTTGGTGATACGGTGGGGGAGAGGGAAGCTGAGTCCCTTCTGGGTCAGCTGGCGGATGTAGGGTCGCTTGATGTCCTCGGTCTTCTCGATCTCAACGACGCGGAGGATCTGGGGTTTGTTAGTGTCTGTGACAAGTAGCTGATTGACTGAGTTCGACGTACGTGGATGGACCTGAAACGAGCACGGTGGCGGGCGGCCATGTCGGAGTAGAGAGACTCGACAGCATCTGTTCGGGACAGCTCACGGTACTCCTTGTACATGTTGTGCGTGCCGGAACGAGAGTCATATCGGATCCAGATACCGAAGTTCTTGACCTTGAGGGGGTGCTTCTCGTGGATCTGATTATCCAAGTTAGCCTGGCCCGTTGTTTCCCATCGTTTGAATTCTTGCTACGTACAGTCTTGACGCTGACGATCTCACCAGTGGCCTTCTTGACCTTCTTGAGACCGCGCAAGAAGTACCAGTATCGGGACTTGGCGACCGTCTCGTTGGGAGCGAAGATGGTCATGCGGTAGAGGGCGGGGGTAGGGTTAGCCTCGGTGGGCAAGTGGCGCCCGATGACCTCGTATTCCTGAAGACGGCCTGAAGACATTGTCAGTATTAGACGTTGCAGGTGATAGTTGTTTGTTGTGATGCCGCGAGCCGAGCCGGAGGATCAAATCGAAATTTCGAGGGCGTGCTGCTTGTGGTAGGTCGAGGTGTTGAAATTCGAATTTGGCTTTTCGATCAAGGTTTTGACAAGCCCCGCTTCAGCGAACACATCGAAAATTGTGTGAGCAGTTGTCGATGTTCCGTAGTAGCTGAGAGGTGGTCCTTCGTCCCTATCTCCCCTTCGTAACAAGTTGTGAAGAAATATCGAAATTTGTTTTTCGTCGTCATAATCCTCCGGCGGGCGGCATCGTTGCAATCGAGCGCATAAAATAGAAAAACTGCTTACCCATCTGTTTACTTGTCAGTGGGTTTCCCTGTATGAGTCCTGGTATGCACTTACGGTGACTTCTGGTGATTGACTGGAAGGTTAGTAAATGGCAAGTTTGCAAGATCGCAAGATAAAATTGTGTGCGATTAGGAGGGCAAGACAGTGGGTCGTACCTTCCGGAGGGCTTAGGCCCCAACAGCGATTGGTCAACCGAGTCCCACTTCAGTAGAGCGTCACGTGCGGCTCCAAAGAAGGAGCTCTGGACGACAGTGGGTCCAATGGCCAATCAGAATCGCAGGCGGGCAGCTCAAAGAAGTTGAGAAGGAGGAAGATGAGTTCAACGACAGAGTGAGAGGCCAATCGACTTGTATCATCACAAACTTTGGAAATACAAACAACGTATCCCAAACGTGTCACTGGATTGTTTAGTCATTGATTAAACCACTATCGCTACTTTTGCTTCTGCTCATGCTCAGTTTGATTGAAGACCAGAACTCTCACTGAGCGTACTGCGTGTCTAATACAGGAACCATGAATACTCTCTTCGATCAGTTTGCGGAAGCCCATTCCCAGAAAAATGGCTACAAACTCGCGCAAACACTATCGCCTGTTGCTCCGTCAGATGACCCTCATCGCCTCATGGCTGTATGGCGTAGTACGAATTCTCACAGCGTTAAAGGCGACATCAAGCACTTCGTCAAGAGCAGTACATCTCATCGACGGAAGATGAGCCATGATGAAACAACGGGCTGGGTTGAGGTGTACACCTCATATTGGAAAGCTATCGCTGAGATCTTGGCGGGAGAGAGCGGAAAGGTATGAGGCTTTGTATGTCTCTAAGAGCACCAAACTAATCCTTGTCATAGTCAACATGGACTAAAGTGTACGAGGCATGGAAGGAACTGACCTCCGTACTCATCCGTGGATACAACTCACATGGTTTTGAAGCGTGGACTATCCCCTCCCTTTACATGGTGGGCAAGTACCTACGATTATTTGCGATCAAATCCGACGAGGAGCGCCAAGCGAAGACTTTTGACACCGGTCCCGGAGCTTCGTTGATATCGGACGATTTCGACCCAGAAACGGATAAGCAACTTCAATTAAGAGACTGCGAAGGACATCTCAAGCGTATTTTTTCGCTTTGTCTAAATGACAGGTATGATTATCATATTCTGGCACGTTGATTTTTGGCTGATTGAGTCCAGAGCACCCCTTGAGGAATCAAGGAAATGGGGAATCTATTTCGTTATTAACCTTCTTTTCAAAACCTACTTCAAGTTGAATTCGGCTTCCTTGTCGCGGACTATTCTTAAGACGCTTGCTGTGTACAATGACAAGGGCGATATGCCGCCTTTGGAAATGTTCCCAAAGTCCCAGAGAGTGACCTTCAAGTTTTACGAGGGCGTTTTGCTATTCCTTGAGGAGAATTACAATAAGGTGAGTGTGCTACTACTCGTCAAAGCCACTGTCTAATAGTATTCCAGGCCGAGTCCCATCTCAATGAAGCGTGGCAACTATGTCACAAAGACGCTCTCCGTCAATCCGAGTGAGTGAAGTATCAATATAAGCTGTAAAATATATGCTGATATGGCGATAGACGAATTTTGACCTACCTCATCCCTTGCCGACTCCTGACCAGTCATGTCCTTCCTACCAAAGCCCTTCTCGAGAACTATCCTCGTCTACAGGAACTCTTCCTTCCTCTAGCCAGTTGCATCAAGTCTGGTAACCTACAAGCCTTCGATGAGGCTCTACAAGATGGTGAGGCTGAGTTCGTCAAACGGCGTATTTACCTTACCCTCGAAAGGGGCCGAGACATCGCCTTGCGTAACCTACTACGTAAGGTCTTCATTGCTGGTGGTTTTGATGAACCAAAAGAGGGCGAGACAACCCCGGTTCGTCGTACAAGAATACCTGTAGCCGAGTTCCAGGCTGCAGTTAGCATGGGAAGTGGTCATATGGTCGACCCGGATGAAGTCGAGTGCATGCTGGCCAATATGATTTACAAGGTAAGTTAACGGATCCTTCGTGTGGATAAGGTGCGGGCTGCCTTTTCGGCCCAGCGTTACTTCTCTGGTCTAAAACGGTTGAGAGTTGTCGTTGGCATATGCGTGGCAGTCAGTTGACTATATACTCGTCACCAAATTGCTGCCTTAGCCAAGTGTCTGCCTGGGGCATTCACGCTCTTTATCTACACCCCCTCCATCTCAGCCTTACAAAGATCTGAGTCACTAAGTTGTTTGTTTAGGAACTTATGAAAGGTTATATCGCACGAGAACGAGGCATTGTGGTGTTGTCCAAGAAAGGCGCCTTCCCTGGCACAGGATTGTGAGACTGCAGGCCAAGGCCATTGGCTGAGACACGACTGACGGACGTGTGAGAAGCTTGAGAGTTTAGCTGCATTTCTTAAACTAACGACTACTACTATAAGAGAGTCTAGTAGCATGAGGCAGAGTGAATAGACACCGAAACCGTCAGAATGACGCTGGCGCCAACAAATCATAGAACAGTTTCAGCTATGTCTGTTTTGCGTTTGCCAATTTCAGCCCAAGCTCATTATTGCGCTGGTTTGACGTCCTTGCTTCTTAAGGTTATCTTTGCACCATATTCACGCTTGAGAATAACACCGTGAACTACCCTTGCGTCTCGCAACTTCGAGCCTGCACCCTCGTCCTTGTTGGCCCTCAACTGCTGATGCTTCAGAAAAAGCACATTCCCGTCATTTGTTTACTGTCGATGGCCATGGTCGGACAGTCCGGGCCTTTTGTCAGATGCGAGACGTTGTTGAGCACCCGACATTTTACACTCGCAGTTTGCATGGTTCGCTTGCTTCCTCGCAAGTTAGATCGCACTTATCCCACAGCGTGACTCACAACCGGGGATCTCTTCCGGTATAAGCGACTTGTGTTTCACGATGTGACTGGTCCTTGGCAAACCTTGTTGGACGCCTCATTTGACGTTCTCAACGGGACTTTTGGAATCTCACTGAAGGAAGAACAGCGAACAAAGCAATGTAAGACATGAAGCTCGCTCTCTTCAAGCTCGTGAAAATGAGCGTCGTGAATAATGATACATATTTTGGCCCATCCATCTCAGATGACAGTCTTGGTATCCTCAGTACAAAAGCATCGTGAAAACCCCAATACCAACCAACAGGCTTGCGTCCAGCGAAGCCGAGTCCCAAAACCCCTGTGCTCCAAAATGTTTGAACCCTCTAGGGGCCAGTAAGAAGAATAGTTGTACAGAAAAGAAATTTCCACGCCAAATTTCAGCCGTTAGAACTCCGTGAACAAAGCATCAATAAAGCACCTGAACTCCACCCCGGTATTTCTTTAATTTTATGGTATTTGTCAGTACTGTGAAGTCGGCGCCTTGTATCGAAGAGAAAGGATATTCATATTTCATTAGAAGGGTGTAAAAGCCAATGGTTGATGAAAGGGTATTAAGAGAAGTGGCGGTTTGAGCGAGGAGTGTTTCTGTAGTCTTGTTAGTGTTTATTATGAGCTGGATGTTAAGACTCAGACTCACTGTGCAGTAGAGATGTCGTCGACGTGGTTGCAAAGAGCGACAAAAAGGTCAAAGAAAAGTTGAGTGCCGCCGTTGTACATCTCAAGTTGCATGGTTCCACTTCTCTTGAAAGTGCTTCGTGAACGAATGATGAGTGCAAGATAGTGAGCTCGGAGCTTGGAGTCAGTATCAGGAGTATTGGCATAGGCATATCTTGCTGAAGCAAGGATGGTGCTGCACTGGATTCCGGATTCTGAAAAAGTCATCAGCAAAAGTTTGAAAAGGGAAAGGCTGAAAACATACGCAGTCCTTGCTTTCGCAGCGATAGCTTCTTCAACTCATCAAGACCATACTTCTCCGCCGCACAGTAGATGACAGTATCCTTGAGAAGATCGCCATCGATACCACGATGATAAACCGTGCTCTCTACAGCAGCACGCTGTTCTTCGCTAGCAGCTTCAAGTTCATACGAGTTACGACGCTTGTTGTGAACGAGACGAGGAGTGTAGTCTCCCTTGTAGAGGAACTCAAGAACAGAGCTGAAAATCTCAGGCTCTTCATCAGGAAGAGAGATGCGTTTGCTGGCGACGTCCATGTATCCATTTCGTAGAGCGTTATTAAAGAAAGGGCTAGTGACAAGAACGTCTTCGTGAGCGGCGAAAAGGCGTTGTTCACTACCAACCACGAGAGTGACGATGGGTGAGGCCATGTTGTTGCTGAATCGTGTAAGTGGCGATTTGTGAGATTGAAGAAATGATGACTTACTTTTCCATCATAGTATCACCACTGGCACTGGTCATAGAAGTCATCGTTGGTCGACGATGGCGAGACTCATGTCTTCGCTTGGTGATGCCACTGTCTTTGCTGAAAGAAGAACTCGATTTGCTGGCCTTGTGGCTTTTTGAGAAGCTCTTGCTTGAGCTCTCATGGCGTCTGGAAGAGGAGAACATGTTGGTGATTTCTGATGGAGGTTTCGAGTGAAAGTAGATGTTTTTTTTAATTATTAAACGATGGGATCGTTGGGTGTTTTATACTCGTTGGGCCGATAACGAGGTGGACGGCGAAGCAGGCAGAGACAGAACCGAGGCAACAATAAAAGAATGAGGCAGATGAAAGAAGACGCCGGAAGAATATCGTTGGGTATCTTGGAAAATTGAAACCTACCTCAGGTTCAAATAGTGATTGGAAATGACCACTCTTCTGATTCGTCTCAGGATACAAGAAAAACTACGAAATGCGAGAAGACACACCATCTTTATAACTTGAGATGCATGCTCCGTGCGGAACAGTATGAGATGGGCTGCCTGATGTAGTGCTACCCCCGCTAATGAGCCATCCATTCCATCCATTTCTCCTTTGCATGAGGCGAGTCAGCCCCGTCGGTGGTGATAGGTAGTGACCCAGACGCGTGTGCTAAGATGGGTGTACGTGTATAGTGGAAGAGTGGGAACGCGATATTGACACCAGAGCACGTGACGCAAAAAGAGTGTCTTAATTAATTCAAGGGCGTCTGTCGTTAAAATAATGGCAGGGATTGAATGGGACTCACAGAGAAAAAGGGGCTGGGAAAAGGAAAAACAAACGAAAGCATGGACTTAAATGTAAGGGGGCCTTGTTAGCGGTTTGACTTAATTGAAGCCGACCAAAGTCTCGGGGAGGGCATCCTAACAAATTAGGTACGGATACAGCATGTGCTTCACTGTTGGTGGTGCTGGGATGATTAATTATGGGGACCTTGCGTGCTGAATGGGGAACTCCTCAAGGCAGAAGCACTCAAGCTCATGGTACTGCATGATAACGCATGCTCGGCTATGGAGCTGCAAGGCTCTTGAAATATGGTCGAGCCTCGTCATTTTTTGCATCATCTGAATCGTAAGCTCTTGCAGAATCAATTGAGATCAATTGAAGCTTGTACTCAATTGGGTTGATGATGTATGACCGTTACGAGGCCTCCTCGTCTATCTAATTCTCACGACTTCACAAAATGGCTTCTCCCCTCCAAGCACACTCTCTACTGCAAACAACTTTTTTCCCTTTAACCCCATGCTGTTTTAATTGATAGTGGATCTTTAGTCTTTCGTCGGTGGGTATGATTTGTGATTTAACCAGGGGAACCAAGGTAAGGTACCTGACATAGCTCCCCAACACCTCCACACTCGATACAGCCTGTTGGGTTCTAGTGACTCTTAGTGCGAGGCTCGGATGAGGACTCCCTGAGATTTGAGGGCATCGACGGTGACAATGCCCGTTATACGGTTGACTGTGACGGCATTTCTTGTCACACACACTCAAGATCCCTGTACGCCACGGCTGCAGATGACCGACATGTCCCGAATTCACGCCAGAGAACTCGAGACTTCAACGTTTTGCACCTCAACTTGACCAGTTTCAAGTCTAGCCCTTCCCTGCATTGTTCACATCTTCTCCTTTTCTTAACAAGTCCTGTTCCCGTGCCCGTGTTGCAGCCGTCGAGATGGACTGCGCAAGTGCTTGTTTGCCCGAGACTCTCACCATGGCTTCATTGTGAAGTGCCCCGCGTACCTTCTGTCGCTCCACCGGGAGTCCAGCCTGTTGGCATCGCTGAAGCAGTTCCTCGCCATGATTGGCAGGTACAAGCTCATCTTTGCCGGCTTCCACTATGTATATCCCCGGTGGCGTATCTGGGAATCTCTTGGCTATCATGCCGAGGTTGGTCCAGCTGTCCAGGTGGTTTCGGAGAAACGGCCAGAGATATTGGTATGGAAGCCACTTCTGTGGATATAATGCTTGGAGCATCGCTCGGACGTTTGTAAAGGGTGTTTCCAGAACAAGACCGTTAAGTTTTATATTGGGAGGGAATTGGCCTTTGGCTGCTAGATTGGTTGCGAAACCACAACCAATGCTCTGTCCCCAGAGTAGCACTGTTGGTTTCTCCTGATCAGCATTTTTCGATCTGCCTTCATGCAATTGAGCTATCCATTGTAGTGCTGCTTGCGAATCAAGATCTATTCCTGGTTCTGATGGTCGATCATGAGATGTCCAATACCCTCGATAACTAAGACAAACCAGTGTGTAGTTGACTGAGGGTTCATTATCGTGTGCTCGCCGTATGATCCAAGACAGATCTGGTAATCTAGGCGGCAACGACGATGCGTTCCCTAAAACCCTGAATAAGTTGCTGTGCGGTTTGAGACTATAAGATTGGCAAACCTTGAAAGTAGAGGATGTAAACTGGTGTCTTTGTCTTGCCAGCACTTACTTGAGATACTGGGGGAACATCTGCTACACACAAAGCAATCTCTGTTCCATCCAATGATTTAATTCTCTCTTCCCTCCATTTAACACGTCCACAGTCGCGGGAGAACTCCTCAATGGTCAAACTCCGGGAATTGGGTGGCAAGAAAGGATTATAGATAATCATATTCTGGAACAGAACCATCATCAAACACTTCCAACTCCACAAAGCCACAAACAAGCCAGTAAACACCAACGGCGGCATGAGAAAAGGCGCAACATGCAGGGACCTAGCGCGGCCCAGATGAGGCCTCATAATTGCATGTGTCCATATACGCGGCCGAGTCCTCATGCAAACGCCTCGCGAGCGCATGGCCGATATGGTGATGGCATGCGAGGCCATCGGAGTTGGCGATCAAAGAAGCGCCTGACAAGTGGAGGAAGAAACGTGGATTGATGTAGTTAGGTGCAAGGGGTCTAGGTTTATGACATGTTCGAACGTGACTGGGCTTGAGGGATATGCGACTGTGCGAATTGGGGATGATGTGCAGTAAAATTGAGGGAGCAAGTTGATGGTGAGATGTATCTGACTTCATTGTATGCAGTTTAGGGTGTAAAATGTTTATAAATATCTCACAGAAATCTTCATAAAGTTTACAAGTCTTTACCATTCTTTACTAAATTTATGATCAATAGAGGCAGATATTTTACAGAATGATCCGTTTGATCTGTCTCATGTCTCTATGATCTGATTATTGAGGTGATACCATAACGTCACCTATAAAGTTACAACGGTTTTAAGCCCCCGCCAAACTTTTTGCTGTTGTGTCCTGCAGGTAAAGTAAGGCACCTCAGGAACCAACCATCCATAAACAGACGCCCAAAGTGGAAGTGGAAAGCACCCAACGATTCAGGTCAATTTCTCAGCTTTTAATCAGCTTTTTTCCCGCCTCCATCACGTTCCTGAAAATCCCATCCTTCGCCTTTTTCCTCTCTTCTTTACCTAACCTCTCCCCCATAATCTCAAATCGACAACGTCTCTCTCGCTAGGCTCAAAACTCGCTTACAAACTTGGATCAAATCTGCCCCGCCATTACCGTCCATCTTCGTGAATAACTACATCATCGCCCAGTCTCGTGCTTTTAAGCTCAACGCCCACAACCATGCCTGGATCTACCGATAAAGAAAACGACGGCCACGCGCACATCGATGCCCCCAGTGACAACGATAAGCCTTCACCACGTCCGGACGGCGAGTCAAGCCCTGGCCTCAGGAACAGCAAGGGTTGGGATGGCAAGCTTCGCGTGCCAAAGTCGGCTTCTATGACAAACCCAGAGGCTCTCACCGATTCTGACTACTCTGACGATGAGAATGTCATGAAGGGAGAGCAGATCGACGCTGATGAGGGTATGTGCTGCATATCAACTTACAAAAATGGACAGTTCTGACTAACATGTGCAGATCTCCTCGATGACGAAGACCCCGAGACGGACGAAATTATGTGTTCTCACTCTCGAATCGCCTCGATTTCCTCTCTACGCCTTGAGCGCTTTAAGAACGTCGCCCGTATCTGCCTTCGCCAGAACAGTATCGAGCAAATCGACGGCCTGTCCGCCTTAGCCGAGACCCTCGAAGACCTTGACCTCTACGACAACCTCATTTCGCACATTCGCGGCCTCGACGACTTAACAAACCTCACGAGCCTTGATCTGAGCTTCAACAAGATCAAGCACATCAAGCATATCAACCACTTGACAAAACTCAAGGAGCTGTTCCTTGTCGCCAACAAGATTAGCAAAATCGAGGGGCTGGAGGGGTTGGATAAGTTGACATCTCTTGAGCTTGGATCGAACCGTATTCGCGAAATCAAAAACCTCGACTCCTTAAAGGCGATCGAAGAGCTTTGGTTGGCGAAGAACAAGATTACTGAGCTCACTGGTCTTGGTGGTTTGCCTAATCTTCGACTACTGAGCATTCAGTCCAACCGTATAAGCGATTTGTCACCACTGAAGGACGTTCCCACACTTGAGGAGCTATACATTTCACACAACATGTTGGAGTCTCTAGAAGGCCTTGAACACAACCCTAAACTACATGTGCTGGATATCTCGAATAACAAGATCACCAGTATCAAGGGTCTTGAGTCACTTGCTGAGCTTGAGGAGTTGTGGGCCAGTTATAACCTCATCGGCGATTACAAGGAGGTTGCCAAATATCTTGCCGATAAGAAAGATTTGACGACGGTGTATTTTGAAGGAAACCCGCTGCAACTGCAGGAGCCAGTGGCATATAGGAACAGGATCCGAATGACGTTGCCGCAGGTCAAACAGATTGATGCCAGTAGGTTTGCACTGAATCATACAATTCTAAGAATTATCGCTAACCTTTTTTGCAGCATTCGTTCGAACATAAGTTCGACTTTTTGAAGGCTGCGTCACAGAAAGCATGGCGTTAAGGCAATGGAGTTTGGCTTTTTCGATATTCGGGGTGGCATCAATGGTGCATTCAATAAATGGTTGATTCAAAGACAGATAAAGCTTTATGTGAGTTACAGTTTAGACAAGGTTCTAGAGCAAACAGAGAGTTACCGAGGCTACAGGCAGTTATGCACTGCTCAGTCTTGGTCATATCATGGAGCAATCATCTCCCAAAACGATAATCATACCACGCAAGAGTGACCAATTTGTTGAAGGGTTAACTGTCTTTTGTATTCTATGAGAGCGTCTCATCAAGTCCTTGCGGTTCTACAAAATGCAGCCCATCGTCATCAAACGCCAAATATCCCAAACAATCATGTTTCCAATGCATCTTTCTTTTACTTATCATATCATGTCATTATTTAAGCGAAGATCCAGAGCTTCTCGGTAGGGAAGTACTAGAAAATATTAGTATTGTCTTTGGCAATTAATTGAGAGTGAAAACTTACGTTGGTGGGCTTGTTGAACTTGAGGTTGAGGTTCATTCTGGCGATGCGCTTCATGTCCTCCTCATCAATGTCCCAACCGACACAGTCAAAGTTCTGGGCCATGTACTCGGGTGTGGTACTCTTGGGGATGACAGCAAGACCTTGCTGTGTGGCCCATCGGAGGAGGACCTGAGCGGCGGTCTTGTTGTACTTGCTGGCGAGGCCAGTGAAGACCTCGTGCTGCATGAGAGGAGAAGCAGACTTGGCAATGTCCATATCGAGCTCCATGAAGCCAGCAGGGCCGAAAGAAGAGTAAGCAGTCAGAGCAATGCCCTCAGCCTTGGCGAGGCGGACAAGCTCGGTCTGCTGGTGGTAGGGGTGAAGCTCGACCTGGAGGGTGGCAGGTCGGATCTTGGCGTACTTGAGAAGATCGTAGATGGACTGAGCCTGGAAGTTGGAGATACCAATGGACTTGGCAAGACCCTTCTCAACGAGGCCTTCCATAGCGCCCCAGGTCTCCTCGTTGGTGGCCTTGCTCCATCGAATCTCGGTGCCAGCGTCGTCGTAGTGCCAGCCGGGGGGGTAGCGGACCTCGGGGTCGACGTACTCGAGGGCGACAGGGAAGTGGATGAGGAAGAGGTCAAAGTAGTCGATCTGCCAGTCGGCGAGCTGTCGGCGGGTGATGGGCTCGACGTTCTCCTTGTCGTGGTAGGTCTGCCAGAGCTTGGAGACGATGAAGAGGTCCTCTCGCTTCACGATACCATCCTTAATAGCGCGGGCGACACCTTCACCGCAGGCCTTCTCATTACCGTAATCTGTTGTGAAAAATTCATTAGAACTTCTGTGAATTTTGGTTTGTCCGGGTAAAAAGAGAAGTCATGAAGCTATCGTGGTGTGGGGTGAAGCTCCAAGTGTAGTGGAGGGGTAGTTTTGCAGGGGTAATGTGGCTGTTTTCTCGGTGCAATTGACAATTGGCAGGGAAAATGAGGGGCAGAAAGACAAGGATTATCTAGGGAGGGGCACAATGCAATGGGATCATGGCCGTGTAATTGAAGTTGGCGACGGGTAATTGTAAAGGCAATTGGGGGTTTTGGAGAGAAACATACCGCAAGCACCGTCGAGAAGACGGTATCCAGCCTTGATGGCCTCGTAGACAACATCAGCGCAGTTGTCTTCAACCTTCCAGAGGCCGAAGCCAATCTGGGGCATGTCAAAGCCGCTGTTGAGCTTGATGTTGGGAACGTTGACCATTGTGACGGTTGTTGATGTGTAAGAGATGTGGTGGTTGGTTTGATAGGATAGAGTAGAGAGAGGAGGAGAGGAGAAAAGAATGGGAAAGACAGCTCAGAGGAGGGGACAGTAGTATTTATATTTATGCTAAGAAGAACACATGTTGCTACTGTACATATTATCCTCAGAGGTAGCTACCTAGGCAGATATCGTATGCCCTCATGGGTGCGGCATGACAAGCAAGGGGCAAGGTCCATACTACGTAGTATGGCATGGCATTTGATAGCGCTACGCCTTCCATAAGAGAAAGGCCATGAATAGCGTTGACATGAGTGCGCGTGTTCCTCGGGTCATAGAATGTCACTCCCCAAAGCCTGCAGCATCTGGTGCAGCATCATGGGATTGCTCCGGGGTGTGTAACCCCCAAAGGTACTGTAGAGGCGTGTGAGGGCGGCAAATATCTGGCCTAGAGCCCATCATGCGAGCCAGAGAGAGCGAATCGTCGTATTAACCAGCCCAGTTCAGCCCCAGTTTCTTCTCTGCCTTCCAGATTATGCCGCCGTTGGTGGGGCCTAGAATGGCATTCACCCGGCGGATGAGATGGTGGGCATATTGGATGGATATTGGGGGAGGATGGATGTCATATGTAAGTATGTAGGGTTCATAATTACATGGGAAGGAACAATATTCTGGATAAACTAAATCTGATCGCGTATCGCTTTGGTATGTAGCTGAATAGAGTGATATAAGTCATGGTTGATGATATTACCATCATTGCCGATTATTGCGGTGCGCATATTACATATGACGAGTGGATATTTCAGTGAAACAAATCTGATCATGAAAACTTTCAGCCAAAAGAAGAAAAAAGAGAGAAAGGACACTAAAGTAATGGCCGACGCTCCCCGAAGTAACCACTCTAGTCACTGTATGTGTCAGTCGTTCGAGAACCAATCCAGTCCAGTCTATTCCAGGGTATGTATGCTTCACCCCGCAAATCTAGGACCAGGCCAGCCACACCAAGACCCCGGCAAGTGGGATGAGAAAGACAGATGAAGATGAAGAGAATAAGCAGGATCTATACCAGAAAATCAATTGTCTTCATGCGCCGCAGATTCTGTCTGTTTCATGACGCATGTGCCCCTGGTCTCAGAGTTGGCCTTTGTGAGCAGCTTATTTGTGCGTTTATTCTGTAGCTCAAGTGCCGCGTCTAAGCCAAGTCGACTTTTACTCGCGCGGGTGTGTCTTGGGGCATCTTTTCTGTGATTGATGCGCAAAACAGACTGAAGCAGCTCCTTTCCATCTTCAAGGTTAAACGTAGGCGTAGGGTCCCTTAACTCCGGGCGTTTCGCCGCATGACCTCCTTTCTCCTACTCAATTCTGCCAAATCTCTGACGTGGTCCATATCTCGGCTCGGCGTAATTCCAAGGTTCCCTAGTCTATGATATTGTCGATGTGGATTTATCGCGGGTGAATAGACCTTCAACTTGAGCCATATCATGATAGCTAAAGAAGATTGAAGAGCCTCTGTGGGTCTTGTCCTTCCGGAAGAAGCCATCAATTTAGCCTAAAACAAGTGCCCCACGGATGAGCTGCCCGTCGTCCCACAGTAGCGGGTAATCTCCAGGCACTCACACAGAATCCCCACTCTAAATGTTCCTCTGTAAACACCCCTACCTACCCCCATGACAACTTAGTGAAGAAGTCCCATGATGGGGAAAAAAGAATGCCCTGGGTCGAGCCAGAGCATGAGATGGCCAAGATCAACTTCAATGGTGTCAATTTGCCCAAAATACTGTCAGGGGCTGATGTTGAATAACTTCAATCGCTATACGACAAAGACCACTCCCTCCAAAAATGGCCCCGACTGGCTTACACCAACAATAGACTCGACGCTTCAATCATGACAAGCACCTTTTCAGCTTCAAAGAACCCTTTCAAGCTTGCGCATGGTCGCATCTGTTATCATGGCTCCCAGTGACCAAAATAGGACTATCTTGATATGCAGGGCGTCACCAGGCTGATGGACAAAGAAACCGCCAAACCACCAACCATCACGGAACCACCGCACCTCTTTGTCCAAAGACATCCAATTTCGAATTCGATCTTCTCACAATGTCGCCCTCGATGCTTCTTTCAAATCTTGGGGCTATCAATTGTCAATGTCTGACACAAATCACTTGTGTCTTGAGGGACCCAGACAGCAGCTCCTTTGGTCTTTGTTCTGTCGAAACAAGTTTATTACTATCGAATGCTCCCAGCGTTTTCAACGTATTCCCCAATGTGATCCTCACTTTCGACAACACCAAATTCAACTCGACACAGTCTATCCAACATGAAAGGCCGCGAGATTGCCACCACGACAATCGATACTTTTGTTCCACGCCGACCACGACCAGGGGAGTATCACGTCGCCTTACGAAACCTACAAGCTATCCAAGGAGCTCTGCTTCGTGGGGATGAACATGTCACCCTTTTCGAATGGCCATCGATTCCACCAGGAATTTGGGATCACGTACAGCGTGCCGAAGACACCATAGGCGAAGAGGAAGTCAACCCTTTCACAGTTTTTCCAAGCCGCAACGCGCCCTGCGATCCCTGGTTCTCACAAGATGCCCGAAACAACATAGAAAACAAACGTTGGTATGGCATGAAATTCAAGTTTATCAAGGTGCTTGCCCAGGGTGGTCACGGATACGCCACACTATGGAACGTCGTCTACGATGACAAATCTGTCAGGAAGGTCGTGATCAAGAGAGCTATAGACCCTTTAACTAATGCCTTCGACCCTCGCAAAGAAGCCGAGTTTCACTTGCGGTATGACGGTGCCCAACACACGACGCAGGTTATCGACTTACATCGCGAGGCAACGGCTATACACAATCGTATGAAAGCCAAAAGTACATATTCTTCCGCCAGTATCAGACATGGGCAACATTGGAACGCCGAAGAACAGAAATGTGTCGTCTTTGAGTATATGCAATTCGGCGACATGGTCAGCGTCATGCAAACAGTCGCTGCGAAAAAGGTTCAAATCCCAGACCAAGTTCTCTGGGGAATTTGGGAATGCCGTAAGTCATCATGCCCCGAAGCATTGTATCTTATCTTATCGACTGACTCTATTTTATAGTTGTGCTTGGTCTCGCAACCATCGCTTATACTCCGTCTATCAACTCTGGCGACTCCAGTTTCGAAATGTGGTGGAAGAGATTCGCAGAATCTGATGCGGCACTAGACTTCCTCGACACTATCGAGACAGGTTGGCAAATTGAGCACGATGTTCATCTCGATCTAGAAGTGTTCAACGGTGGGTTTATAAAACATCCATCGAGGCCTTTTGCTAACCTCTGTGTGTCTAGTTCTCGCGGGCCATGATCCCGCAACGCATCCTTATCAGCCTATTTTCAAGGTAAGCCTGCACAACGACGACATTTGCCCTGTATACATGTGTTGACGTAATCTCGTTAGCTCCATGATCTCGGTGCCTGGAGCTTCAAGATGAACAAGGCTTGGGAGAGTCAGAATGAAACCGAAATATGGTCAATGAGAGGACCTGTTAAGCTTCATGGCATGGCACCGGTATGTAATGGGATTCCTAACCTTGCTGTAGAATACATCACTGATAAACACTAGGAGCAATTCAGTAAAGAGTGGGATACAATGCCTGTCAGTATGGTGGAATCTTCCTTGAGGCGACGTTATGGAGGTGAAGACTTGACGAAGGGGAATCGGGTTGCCGGTCGCTTTGGGGTATGGACCAACATCTTTCTTGTTGCCAGAGTTGTAAGTTCTACTGATCATGGCCAACCCGAGAAATACTCTAACGTTTTGGAAAGATGGAATCCATCATGACCGGAGTATTCAGCAAGTTTCCTTACCAAACTGTTGCCCATTATGATACACAGATCGAGACATATGGAGGGATGCTTCAGACACCAGAGTTTGATCACATCGACCCCTCCTTGCGAGACGTCGTGGCGAGGTGTCTGTACGAGGAGCCACAATATCGGCCCCCAATTACCGAAATTTTGGCGCATATCAGGGAACGAAAGCGTAGACTTCGCTTCAATGATCCCCCAGAGTTTGTTACTAATTGGTGGAAAGCCCTTTTCGAACCTCAAGAGCCAATGCCTCTCCCTTCACAAATACCGCCGCCCGCGAGTCCTGTCAAGCAGGCCGTGGTAGCCTCTGCTACGAAAGGAGGCGTAGCAATCGCGTCTCACATGGCGCAAGCAGCTGGAAATCAAGGTGCTGGAAACCAAGGCGCGCCGAATCACCCTCCATCTCGGGCTCAACTTCCTCCTCACCTCCGATACAGAAAGAAGCCTCCAGCGCCTCCTCAAGCTCCTCCTCAAGCTTCTCTTCAGCAACAAAGCGTCCAACCTAATGTAAAGGAGCCTGCAGCTCAACCTCAAGTTCTTCCTCACCTACGGCACGTTCCTTCTCACCTACGAAACCTTCCTGCTCACCTACGAAGGGTCCAACCTAATGTAAAGGAGCCTCCAGCCCAGCATCAAGGCCAGCGTCAAGGCCAGTATCAAGTTCAGCCTCAAGGCCAACGTAAAGCCCAGCCTTATGTTCCTCCTCACCTAAGAAGGGTCCAACATAATGTAACTCCTTCTGCACTGGATGAAAATCTCGCGAACATATCACTCAAGCGCGCAACCCAGATATTTACTACAAAAGTTGCATCTGACATTTCTCCAAAATCTGTCAAGTCAGGCAGGGTTAGCAAGAAGCCTCAAAAAACTAAGAAGGCCGGGCGTAAAGCGTCGCCTCGGAAGCATGATGCTATTACAGAGTATGTTGAGAAAGCGTTGCCGGATATGCCTGTGGCTATTCGCAACCTTTGGACTGGATCGAAACATCTCGAATTTCAACTTAAGAAAGATGGTTTTCCTGGGTATGCTTTTATGAATTGAAGCCATCTGTAGGAACATGGGTGGCATGAGTGCTGTTGTTTTCGTTTTGTTTATCGTTATGGATGTTTTGGTTGTGGTGTCAAGTGACGCAAAATTGCGATGTTTATGGTATTTCTGGTCTATCTTTTAATCCGCTTTGCTGAAAATATTGTTATATAGAGCTGTTTCTGGCGTGTTTTTTTTTTTTTTAATAATTGATTATAGAACTTGTTGGTCCTGGGTATCACTAACTCCTAACCTATCCATCCACCTTGATTTCCTCGTAACCAAGTCCCAACATTAACTCGTCCAGCTTAAATACAGATAAGGACAATCTAGTTAATATCCTAGTTTGCATAGCGGCACTCACACGCTCCAGACTCAGACTTTACGTCACCCACTTTACCGCCCTCGCTGTCTACACAATTTGGCGATCCTCGGTTGAATGTCTTGCGTTGAACAACATCAACGTCACCCGGCCAAGCCGCAAACTTGGTGTTTTCAGCTGCCTCATCACCTCTTCTCCGCTGCGTCCACAGTGTAGCTTCGAAAAGCGTATCGTCAAACGTACACTTTGCTGCACGATTACTCGACGAGAGCTGATCATCCGGGACAACCGTCTTGTTCATTGAGAAAGAAAACTGAAGACGCTCCTGGGATGTATCCTTGTCAAGAACCTTGAGAGTCAAGTTCGTGAATGATGGTGCAAAAGGGTTTTCTGTGGATGAGATGTTGTATGAGGAGTTGTTGTTGGATGAGATTATCCAGAAGAACGTTGCTGATGAGCCCTTCTCGTATGGATAGCAGCGCCATGTTGAGGGGTTGGAGGTACAGTCTGTGGTAGTGTTTTGAAGATCTGCTTTGAACGCAAAAGAACCAGCTGGGAATTCAGCTGGGGGCTCTGAGGTTGAAGTCTCCTGAGGAGCTGCTCTGTCTCTAAAGTCAATGTTAGTTAGACTCGATGTTATGGATACTCAACTTACTCGTCCTTCAACCCTATCGAAAGTCCAATACCCAGCGCAACAGCAACAATAGCGACGCCCACAAGCGCAATAACCAACAGACAACATCCTCGCCGCTTATCAAGTCCACAACCCTTCCTCTCTCTGTAGCTCCCAGCCTCTGAAAACTCCTGCTCTAGGAATTTGCCCTTAGCATCGCTGTAGCTGTAGCTAGGCGGCGGGGTATAGTGCGCCATGGGGGGAGCATAGTATACTCGCCCTCGGGGTATATACGCCGGTGGAATTCCATTGTTGCGAAGAGCGCGCCTGGGTGATTTCCTGGGGATGCGGAGGGGAGGTGTTGAAGGGCTATGAGATGAGGGTGTAGAGGCGATTTCGTTCTCGTCGATTGAGGGGAGGTAGGGACGAGAGATGGAGTTGAAGGAACCTGCTCTGTAGTTGTGATTTCTGTTCATTTTTGAGGTTCTTGAGGTTATAGTTTCGTGGGTGAAGATAGTTGAGTGTATAATTGAGTTGCGATGACGATGATCAGTGTCTATCGTCTCAACTGATTGAAGATGAGGATAAAGAAGATAGAACAAAGAGAGCAAAAGACTCAATTGTCAGGCTGTGAGAGAGTAAGTATGTATGTGTTTGCTGATCTGCATGCAATAGATGCAACCTCCATAAGTTCAGCTCAGCTCAGCCTACTTCAATTAACGCAACCAGGCTCTCGATGATACATTCACCGACTTCATATGCAGATAGTTACAACTCAAACACAAAAAGAAGGAAACGGTTCAGTTATCAATTGATGACTCTATCCCTCCTCTAAACTATCGCTTTCAGCTCCTCCGTCTGCCCTGTTTTTTCGCCTCCCCCTCCGACGTTGAGATATTCAATTAACAATTCAATGACCCGCCCACGCGGGATCGACCTCATCCGAGGGGGGCGTTTTTTGCTGTTGCTGCTGCTAGCGCCGTTGATAGTTCGTGTTGTCTCTGCGACATCGTGATTGGAGTCGGCCCTGGAAAAGTGGCGTTGAGCTGTAAAGCTTGGCTTGGGAAATATTGGTTTTGGTTTTGGGCCGAGTTTGGAGGGATCTGCATTATTTGATCTAGAATTCCATCTCACTCCTGCGCGTTGAGGGTCGAGAATAAAAATGGTCCTATACATCCAGATTTGGTTTATCTTTGACGGTTTGTCCCCCAAAATAACCCTTGAGTCTATCCCTTGCTCTACTTATCTAACGTCACATCAGCCAACTTCCGCTCTCCTGTAATGATAGATCGTCTATGTAGATCCTGCAAATAATAGATACACAAGTCCCGCTCGCCTACTCCATGCCATACAAAATATCCCATCATCTAAACTCCTCGGGGTATTGCTCTCTGCTCACGTCAATCCATCAACCCTTCGATTCACCCTTCGCTTATTCCTGGCCCTCAGCTGCCTTCTCTGCATATGTCGGAGCCTCGAGCACTTCGCCCTGGTCTGTCCAGACTGCCGCGAGCTCAGTCTCGATCTCATCTCGGCGCTTCTTCCACTCGTCGACTTGCTCCAGCCGCTCACGGAGGTCTTGCAGCTCCTTCTCGACCTGCATCTTCTCACGCTCGGTGCCAATTCGCTCAAATTCCCACTCGTCTCCCTGGTCACCCATACCAAGGACAAGGTTATATGTGTGATATTTCTTGAGGGATGCACGTGTTGAGATGGTGATAAGTGCTGTGGCATGTTAGTCTGATGTTCTTGTCAGAACTCGAAACAAACTATGACTTACTGATGCCTCTCTCCTTGCATGTTTCATACAGCAGACCCTCTACGTCGCTCGAAACAGCGCTGGTGCCCTCATCCACGATAGCATATTGGGGCTCGTGGTAGAGCACACGGGCGAAACCCATGCGCTGCTTCTCGCCCCCACTGAGAACATCCTTCCATTCCTTCCGTGTATCCCAGCCACCCTCTCTGTCAGGGAGGTATCCAAGTCGCGCAGCTTCCAGGACGCTCTTAAGGTCATCCTCGGACTTGCGCTTCTCCTTCATATCCACGTGGCCATCTGGATAGATGACTTGGTCACGGAGTGTTCCGGGGCTCAGATAAGGTCGCTGGGGGAGGAACATAATGCCGTCTTGGCCAATATCCTTGGGGCGACTGACTAGGCCTCGGTAGACTGGCCATAAGCCGGCGAGTATTCTTGCGATGGCGGTTTTACCCACACCGTTTGGTCCAGAAATCTGATTGTTGTTAGCAATCATACAGGTCATGTCGTGAGACAACTTACTAATAGATGTTCACCTCTTCGCACGATGATGGATAATGACTCGAGCAACTCCTCACCTCCTTGAGGCCACAAACCAGGAGCTACAACTGGAACATGCTCGAATCTAACACCGTCAAATCCCTTCTGGATTGTTCCTGAAACATCAGATAATGAGTATAGTTCGCTTTGGCCAGCCCGAACGTGGTAGGCATCGGCATGAACCCGATGCAATGTCGAGATGAGTGTGTACACACGGCTAGTATAGCCTGCCAGTTCTGAAAGGTCCTTAATCGAGTACATCATACGACCGCCCGCATCAGCAAGTGAGAGCATAAGCCTCTTGTTGGTGATAAAATCCTTCATACGGTTTCGCTCTCGGCCACCTCGTACACCATTCTCGACCATCTCAGCTCGGCCGCCAACGCCACCCCATTGTGGCAGGAAGACTGGAAGAGATGCCAACAAATATCCGTAAGCACTCCAACTATACTTGAGGATGAAGTCTTCCAGAATGTTGTAGCGGATCTTCAGCATGTAAATACCCTCCATCCAAGTCTTCAATGACTTGAACTCACGGTTCAAAAAGGTCTTTTCAGTATCTGCACCGCCGTAGAATGCAACCTCTTCGGCATTTGCTATCAGGCGGGCATGTAAGCTTCGAAAGTCACCCTCTTTTCGGCCTTCAACTGCCTTAAGCTTGCCAAATGGTGGTGAAAGTCTTCGAAGAATGCTGGCAGTCAAGAAGTAGTTGCTCATGAGGCCAGTGAGAGCAAGCGGTCCCAGCGATCGGTAAAGTTGATAATTGAAAACGCACAGGTCGACGAAAGGCTTGCCGAGCGATGAGTAGATGTTGGCTGCAGCCGCACAGAACAGGGTCAGATCTTGAGTGATGAACTGATCGGCACTTTGGCCAACACCACCATCGAGATTGGACAGCTTATAGTAGTTAAGGTTATCGTTAAGGTAGAGGTCATGGATGTAGCGTGTAAGTCGCGTGCGGAAGGCAATGGAAACCTTGGACTCGAGGAACTTAATCATGGCATTGGTATATGAGGCAAACCCTCCAAGGCCGCACCACTAGGAAATGTGAGCAGGATGATTTCAATCTTAGGCTGAATACTTACCTTGATAATACCCCAAAGGAACGCCTTTCCGTTTCCAGCCACCAAATCACGTACAATCTCACCATCCAGACGGGCGACAACAAGTGAGAGATATGTCCTTAGCATCAAGAATACGCCATGACTAACAAGTAATCCAGCTTCCTTGCTAGACCACCTTGGGATCATAATGCTCATGAGACTGAGAAATTGGTGCAAGAAGGCAATGTTGAGACCTGGCTTCGTTTGCGCTGCTGGTACAGTTCCCTCCCGGAGTCCAGATACCCGAGGAGGGTTTAGGAACAGACGGCGATGAGCATCGAAAGTGAGTGGCTTGGTTGTGTTGATGACCACCTTAGATGTGCCGTCTTTGTATGGGACGTAAATGGTACGCGACCCGTCCTTGTTGTGAAGCCAAGAGTTTGTGCGCACAAGTTTCCGACCCTGTTCACGCTCATGCCGCCGATTCTTCCACCATCGATGCCCTCCGACTCCTCCAAGGATAATTGAGATAGCAAGGGCCAATGTCGCGAGTAGACGAGTTGTGCGAGTCGTTCCGCGCAACCTTGACTTTATCTTGCCTGTCCATTTGTCGAGGAAGGCGGCTAGCTGCTCCTCGGCAGCAGTATGCCGCAGCGTTGATTGCGCAGCCATGAGAGACAGTATCCGATGGCGAGATGAGATGCAATGTTTGGTGATGACGTTGAATGCTGTCTATTGTCGTTGGAGAAGCTTCCCCACAACAACCGAGTCTCTACGAGGCTCAATGCGCTTTCTTTTACGTGTCCATTAGTGTATCGCGTGGAATGTGAAGATTTCGCTGGCAGTGATTAAAAAACGTGGTTGTATGAATATCTTTGCTAAGTCCAAATATGGTTGAGACTGACTTGTATCAAAAGTTGTCATGAGCATGTGAAATACGGGTATCCGAGGCAAGTGGCACATGGGACGGTCTGCGCCTGCTACGACCTCACCTAAGCTGCAGCCGACGGATGCAGCGAGCGGGAATGACGACACATTATCCAATCACATGATGGTCAAAAAGCTGGGGAAATATGGGGGAACATCTGTTAATGGAGTAAACTCTTGATTGGTTCGATCTACTGTAAGTGGACTCAAAAGCTACCCTACAGTATACACGATACAATGAACGATTCACATGTGGTCTACTATGCCCTCAGTATGTAAGTTAAGTTGCTCTTTTATTGATAAGGCACTCTGATATTTTCATGGTGCTTGTTGGTATCTATTCATGATAGCGGGGCTTGTTGAACATTTGTATAAACATTCTTTATGATCTAGATGCCAGATAAACCTGGAATTTACAAGTTACCTTCTTTGTTAAAGTGTGTTTATAACATACAATAGAAAAAAACAGGAACCACACCCAGAAAAGACATAACCACGCAATCTCAACACTGTTTAACTGGCAACAGACATCACTCGTGTTGGTTGTGGTGCCTGCAAGACCGTTAGGCCATGATCCAGCGTGCTTGATTGCGCGAGATGGGAGAAGCACCCAAGTCTTGCCTTGGATCGTGCGCAAGGAGTGTTGGGTATTCAAGCCATTCCATGACTCCATGAAGAGTGCGTGTATTTAGTGAAAACATTAGATTTCTCACTGTTGCACGGTAACCCAGACTCCAATTAATGGCTGCATGGACGCCTGCCTTTTTCCGTCTTGCTTAGTGGGTTGCGATGCGTACTGTGCTCTGGGCTTTCCTTCGCCTGTTTCTGCGATTGATGGAGTTTACATGATTAATGCGACATGGTATCGGACTAAACTGAGAGAACAACTAAATGAAGATGCAAGACTACCTAGGTAACAAGCCTCACTTGATGATAAGTGGATGGCTTACGATTCAAGAGAACGTGCTCGCCGGAGCCACACAGCAAACGAGATTCATGGAAAGGCGATTGACAGAAGTTAATGAGAACGCAAGGGTCCATCCAGCACAAGCTAGAGGAGGTCTCTGTAACCGGTCACAGCGGGTATGTAGGTCTCTGAAGTGGTCGAGGCCAAAGGGCCCACGATGCATGGAGACATCACCGATCCGGGCGCCAACGCGACCAATCATACCACACGGGTAAGGACATTGTTCCCGGTCCGACAGGG